GGTACAAAGTAGGCATAATTGGTGTTTTGTATGGGCTGTGACCACCAAAATGCGTACATTCATTTCGTTTTAGGACCAAGAGGCTTCAAAGCTGTGCACTAAGGGCATGATGCTTAAAGTGTGAAATTATGGAACAGTAAGGCCTTTGAAAATAGACCTTAAATAATGTTTAACAGTTTGTAGTGGAATAGATAGTGGTAGTAGATAAAACATACTAGCTGGTGCTGCTAAAGTGAATTGTGGCTAGGGCCTTCAAATAAGAGAATACAGTAATAAGTAACAATGAGTTATGATAAGTCACAAGATGGAATCGGTCCAAATGATGGAAGACAACTGGAAGATAGGATAAAGAAAGCTGTTTATTAGAATGGGATGGGCATCAAAAGAGTAAAGCGTTCAAAAATACTAGTCACCATGACTTTTATAGTCTGTTTCTTTATCACCTCATCTTCATTTGATGCCAACGGCGAGGTTATTATGTAAAAGGCTGAGTTAGAATGGTGTAGGTTATCTTAGTCAAATAGCAAATTTTACATAAAGCCGGAGTAGTGATCGTAGGAGAGCAACTTCAGCATCACCGGACGGCTGCTTCGTCCTCGGCCACAAATATCCCGAAGCAAACAAAATATACAAACAAATAAAAGGTTTTTGCCAAAGAATTATCACTGAGTACAAATGGTTGAAAATTGCAATCATCAATAAACTAATCCACATTTTATGCAAAAGATTGCTAGTTTTACTTTCGTCACGTGGTGAAAGGTCAATTAAGTTGTTTTCTGATCTCAGAGTTGGTCGTAAACATACCTATTTTGACATAAACAAGAGTATTGAATCGAATACAATTTAACACCATACCGATTAGTCTGATGATAAAATTGCATTTGAACATTAATCAATAAGTTTATTTATAGCCGTTCGAAGAAACGGAAATTTACCACAGACAAGTAGTTATGGGCTGTGTAAATTTAAGCCGAGCCTACCAACTTAGATTTCCTACTATGATCCACAAAATGGTCTTCCATATGTAGTTGAATTATTAGACCCTATACATCTGAGTTGAAAAGGAATAATGACTGCCTTACATGCGTAATTCCAAGTTGAAAGTATATCTCTCAAGTTTGATTTCACGTAACCTTGCGTAAAGTCAGTCAATCAATTAACATTCAGTGAAACGCCTTCCAAGTAGAGATGCGTTCACTTTCGGATAAATTTCAGTATTAGCTCACTGGTCTTACATGGTGGGTTTATAACTACTAAGGCGCTTAAGATACTGCAGACATAACTGAACTATACAATGCTGCTTTTCAGGAACCCTAACAATTATACTCCAAAGAAATGTAAAATAAAAAAGGGGTTACAGACCCCGGAAACAATATGTTTGAATACAATACCAAATAGAAGAATCATCAGACTATTGAGTAGTCAACTTAGGGAATACGATGTGTTTACTCGATGGCAGTGTAAAGGTATCGTCATGATGTTTGATGATGTTTGACCAGGAGCCTTTAGCTAGTAGGGTATGTCAAAAATGACAGGTCCAAAAGTGTTTTAGCCCTATTTCTATGTGTCTTAGACGTTAAACTCCTAGTAAATGTTTATATTTCGTCTGTTTACAGTCCACCGAATACTGACCAACATTCTGCTTGGTTTAGATGTGAATAGCTGTTTACTGATCACCCAGTGACATCAGCCAAAATGCTATTTAGCCAAAAGGATGAATGAGTTTTGTTTACAAGTTCTCATAACGAAACTCCTTAAGATTATTGGTGTACCTCTTGGTGAAACTACGATGTAGACAAAAATAAAGATTAAGAAGAAGTTTACTGATAGATCATTGCCTTTGGTATAGGAAGAACAACATTTGATGCAGAAAAACAGTTTACAAGTCGTAGATATAGTGAAGTTAAAAATACAACCGCAAAGAACTTATAGAAAACAGTTCCTGTCACGTCTCCACACTCGCATATACACCGAGCCATGTTTTTTTTAATCGTAAAACAGACTACAAAGAAATAAACATTGAAGAAACTGTGGTGTATGTAGCGTGTGTCATGCTGTGATGTAATCAAAAAAGAAGAGAGTTCGAAGTCGTGCAATTTTAAACAACCTTACAAACATTTGTGGTAAATGTATAAACTACGAGAATTAACAAAATAAATGCAAATAATATCAGACACTATTTACAAAATAAGTTTGCCGTGCCTGTCTCTACAATTGGATTCATTTCAGTTTTCGAAACGCCTGTTCTGTATTATATGTTGAAACACCTCGCCCACATCGACCGACGTCTCTTGAACATGAAACACTGCAAACAGTACTGGGTAATTATAAAACAAAACAAATAGGTATTCATTGCCGTTATACTTTTTTAACTGGAGTAAGTATAACTAACATTTAAGGTGGAAGCTTGAAACTCACCAGTTTTTTGACATTTCATTTTAAGCTTTGGTAAAATAATGATTTACGCGAACTTCACATCACTAGAACTGTTATTATGTTGTTTACTGAACCTTATCAAGTTCTAAATAAACATGGTGAGGTTCAGTGGGGTAAATGGTATCCGAAACCAAGTTACGAAGCAACAATCGAGACGACGTGCACACTACAAAACAGAGAAAGGTTAGTTAATGTTTTCGCAATCATTTTTTATGTCACTTCGGCATCAAACCACTTAAATATGAGGATGCCTAAAATCCATGCAAATCAACCAACACAACAATTAAAATACGGAAAGGCAGCTTCATGACAGGTCGTTAAAATGAAACGGCAGGAGGCTAACATAACTTTCTTACTGTCACTTAAACGCGTACATGTTTCATCTTTTACTAGAAGCTCAATAGTTGTACTCCACAATCGCGGTACTAGAAAAAGAGAAAAATGACCAGAAGAGCCAGGAACAAGAAGTGATTTCTAAAGCATAGTCGTTTACGATGAGACAAACTAAGCTTTGCTTAATTAGCAGGTCGAACTCAAAACAATCAGCCTACAAAATTAAACTATAATTGAAGGAACCACTAACGGGGATAAGTTATCTTTTATGTCAGATACTTCACTAGGTAAAACTCTAAGTATAGTGTTTCGAAGCCTGGGAATATTTCTGTGAAGAAACAGTACTTCAATATGTACAAACCATATACGTAGAATAATATTACTGAATGGTGAAATACTCATGGAATTTAATTCGATTGATTTTAGTTCTACCACCTTAAGTTCTTGTTTAACGTGGTTGCAACCAGAGGAATACGTCACGTAAAATACATGAAAGGCGGAAATGTTAATTGGGGCGTCGAATTAATTAACGTGTACTTAGAACTAAGTTAACTCCGCCTGGAGCCCTTCTTGGCTACTGTCGGTCCCAAGCCCGGATAAAGGAGGAGGGTTGGGCATGGAGTTAGCGACCCCATCCCGTAGAAAACTAACCCGCTAAAAAACTCTAACCAGAAGATTTAAAACAAGGATGCGTAAGGGCTCCCCCAAACCAAGAACAGATTTAAGTCAACACAAATCCTAACTTTGCGGGTACAAATAAAAAACGGGAACATGACCAAGGACAAAATGTACCTCAAATCAATAAAATTATCACACTGAATATTAAAGGACCAATGCTATTTGGTGACCTTGAGTGAGAACACTACAAACAAGTTCTTTGAAAGTCCAATGTGTCCACAAACTCCTTAACGTTAGGGGGGTGTTTGACAACTTGCCAATCCTGTGTCGAAGATAAAAATCTGGAAAACTATTCTACGTACTGTAGTTTGTCTTGAAAATTTTGTGCCCAACACCTATTTGGCATAAAAAGTCGGCGACCGAATTTGAGAAAGGGGAGAAAGTGATTACGAAATTTACTTAGCTCGTAAAGTGAACATTGGGAGTGACTAGTTAGTGCTCAATCGAAATGCAATCAAAGTCGATACATACAAACAATACACACTGAGAATCAAATTGTTACATGGAACGTCGCAGAGACAAAATTGATTAGCTTACAAAATATAACGAAATTTTGTCCATAAAATTTAAAAAACCATGAGTGATGTGTCTTGAACCATAAGTAGAAACAAGAACTTCAGTTCCGAATGCTCGGTGACTTTATGTTTTACCTGAACGAATAACTGCCGTGTTGATTTCTGAAGTTAGAGATTTGCACTTGATACTCCGACTGTGAATTTCAGCTATACCTGAAGAAGTCAAGTCATTTGTTTATAGCAAGTATTTTCACAAGATCATAACCAGGAACTGATAGTGAATAAGAATAAATAGCCTTACAGATGGGTATCACTGTCGCCCTTGAGAGTGAGATAATTGCAGGACACATGGGGTAAAGAGACTAAGTACAAACCGTCTAAACTCTCTGACAACAAAGCTGAATGATTATACACTTAATTTCAATTACAATGATTAACAACTAGATCAAACAACATAATTGTCAACACAAACAGTCATACGCTAGTTAAATAAATACGAAAGCAATTAGTGGAAGTTTTACTTTGATTTGCATAACCCCACACTGCTTTCATATTTTGCCACAGCGAACATACGTGTGTTAACAAAGAGTCAACATTTATGCACTAACTCAAGCCAATAAGATACAACCAAACAATAGTCCATTGTCCTAACATGTCATCTTCATCGACAATGGTGTTTAAAGCGTTCAATAAATCACTATCACACCACTATCCTGAAATTATATGAAGATGTGTTATAGAGTAAATATGTTTGAAGGGTAAGATTTCTAATATTTAGCCTTCAATCCACTAATTACACGAGTAGATATGGGTCGATGGAACGAGAGAAGGTTTGTTTGCAGGACGTATTTAACACACTAGGAAAGTGGAATGAGGAATGCTGAGACAAAAACACATAACTCGTACTCCCATAGACAGATAACATCAACTCAAAGACAACACCCAAAATGAGTAGCCACCAATTTGTATCTTCAAATCAAAATAATAATTGAACAGATAAATACGTTTAACAAACAATTAATAAAAAGAAGCTAGATCAATAAGATAATGAAGTCAAATTTTAATTTATTTCTTGAAACTATCAAAAATAACATATATACAATATATCGTAAGGAAAAAAAGCCTAACGTTTTAATCAACATCTTCAAGTCCAAGTGAGTCATTATCTGTATCTGAATTTTCTGCATCTGATGAAGATGTGGAGAGTGATGATGACGAAGAGTCCATTTCCTTCAATAACAGAAGTGATGGATCACGGTAACTACAGGGAATAAATAAATAACATCATCGAAATATAAAGAGTGACTTTATAGAATAAGAACTGTTTAATATTTGTATATGTAGTTTCAATAGTTGTGATTCGTCAGCTAGCAATAGTATACAAACCAAAAAAACATTTTTATTGGTCTGTCATATAACAAGAAAAAAATGGTCCATGAATCCAATTTCAAAGACAATTGTGGAAAGTACCATGAGGTTGTAAGAGCTGAATGTATGTGGTTAAGAGTCAAACAATAATCTGGTGTTAGAAAAGAACCATTATAGCTAGAAGTTGGAATTATTTACTCCCTTACTTTATGTAGGCGTTACATTCCTTATTTTCCTCTACTGAATGATGAAATGATTGTGTATTTAAATATTATAGACATGTAATAAACGGTACGACGAAACTATTTAAAGAGGGGGTGAATATTGTTCTAACAAGGTAAATACTGCACGAAAATTGGTCTGTTATACAATATACATACAGAATCAAAATCAAAAAGTGAATCCCATTAACTAGATATTTTCGTGTAGTATGATTTCAACTATTTTATATAAGGGACAATATAACCACCTAATTCCTCAAAATTTGGTAGATGAAATGGCATAGGAACCTACGATTCAATAATACGAACCTCGAAATGAGTAATAATAGTGCAACTTGACTTAAGCTCAAATCATGTACGGTTTATCAGTATATGACAAATAAATTTTTATGCATATATGATCCGGTAGAAGCATTGTCGAATAGATCACGTAGGCTAGAAAGGTAAGGATCTTATTACAAATAGAGATTAAATCATTTCCACTGCTTAAAATAGACAGTTCTTTTGAATGATCTCCTAGCTTTTATAACGGATCATATAATATAGTTCGGATTTAAGAGTAGAAAAACTTACCGATTCAAATTGATTGGTTCTGCCGGTATACTAGGATAAGGTGGTAATTTTAATTTGATTCGAGATTTCTAAATAAAAAAGAATAAATGTCATAGAAGAGAATACAACAGTACACAACTATTCTCTAATAAACTATAATTTAACATCATTTATACTTACATAGGCATGTTACCCCTAGTGGAGGAACATAGACAGCACACCAGCATTCTTCATCAAACTCTGTAATGAGTGATTCTTTCCAGTTGCTTTTGGTTGCTATTCACCCTTTTCATTTCCGCTTCCAATTCTCGGCAGTATGTTATTCGGCCTTCCTTTCTTCCGCTCCCCTTTAGGATCCCAAGTTAGCACTTGCCTCGTGATACAGTTTGATGATTTCCACAATGTAAGTCCTATCCACTTCCAACATCTTTTCCTAATTTTCTCCTCAGCTAGAAGCTGGTTCGTTTGCTCCTACAGTAGTAGAAAGTTGTTGCTCATAGCATCCGGCAAACAGATCTGGAGTATCTTGCGTAGACAAATATTTATGAATACTTGTACTTTTTGATGATGGTTGTGGTAGTTCTCCAAGTCCCAGCTCCGTACAGTTGAACTGTCTTGACATTCATATTGAAGATTCCGACTTTGATATTGGCTGACAGTTGTTTTGAGTTCCATATGTTATTCAACTGTAGGAATGAAGCCCTTGCTTTGCCAATCCTTGCCTTTACGTTCTCATCGGATCCTCCTCGTTCATCGATGATGCTGTCCACGTACGTGAAAGTTTCCACCTCTTCCAGAGTTCCTTCATCACATTTGGTTGAGATGGTGTCCTTAGATTTCTATTTCAGGATCTTGCTTTGTCCTTTGTGTATGTTGAGGCCTACTGCTTCAGAGGCTGCTGCTTCACTGGCTGTCTTCGTCTGCACTTGTTGGTGTGTATGGGATAGAAGAGCTAGGTTATTTGAGAAGTCCGAATCTTCTAACTAATTCCGAGCTGTCCATTCGATTCCGTGCTTCCCGTCAGATGCCGACGTCCAAATAATCCAGTCAACTTCCAGACGAAAGTGAAAGGGAGAAAGTAAGCAAACTTGTTCGACACCGGTCTTCACTTAGAATGCACCTGCGAGCTGTCCTCAATACACTACTTTGCAGTGTAGTCCGTAGTATGAACTCTGTATGATGTTGACGACCTTCTCAGGCACACTATAGCGTCGAAGAGGGTTCCATGATGTTCTCCTATACACACTGTCAAACGCTTTCTCATAGTCTTGCAGCTTTTTCTGCTGTCACTGTTAGGTCTTCCACGTGTTTCTGCTTGTCGGCTCTAAACGTCATTTATACTGAATGCAAATTTACAAGTAAATCATAGTTTCACCTTTTTTGTCAAGAACAGCGAACGATCTTAATAGTGCTTAGCCACTAGTTTTATCAGTTAAGTGATACAGTAAAAACATAGGTTACGAAATTCTAGCAAGCTTCTCATATCAATGACCTTCGAAGGAGACAGATGTGAACAAGGTTATAGTGCATATTACATATCCATTCCTTAACAGACAAATGACTCTTTTTGTAACCATAAAAATAGCTATTCTTGATAAAATCCTTTAGAAAACTTTCTTTTTGTGTGGTTGATGTTCACAATACGATGACCTACACGGTTTAATCAACGTTTTTTTCCAAGTTTGCTGTTGCTATAACCGTAGACAGTTAAAAAAATTGTGAAGTAGGATTGAAATGAAATTATGAATTTTACAAGACATTTACTGGTATGTAAACTTTTAGTGTCTAATGCATAAAATCAGATGGTAAAGAATAGTTGTCTTAAAATTCAAGGAGAAAACTAAGATAGCCCACCCGTTTAATACACATTTGAGTGACGGTTGACTAAGGATCCCAAAAAATTGTAATAAGCTAAAAATCAAAACATTTTCCATAGACTATCTGATAATTTCAACTCAAAATGCTACAATAGATATGAGAAACAATCTAACATTTAATAAATACGTTTTTTTCCAAATGAATGTTCAACGACGGATATCCAGTTCAATGGACAATAACTTTACTTAGTATGTATGACGTTGTTCTTAGTACTCGGTTTATACCACGTTCTCTATGTTTAATGAAAATACGTGGATATATGAAAGTTTGTACGATAAGTCACGAATTATACTTGTCATGTTAAGGCTAAAGAGATTATCCAATTGTTCTGAACTAGGAGATATAGACCATAGAGTTGGAGTTTATTTGTTAAATCAAGAAAATCAAGTGTTTAACCTAATAAATAAGAATTGTAATATTGCTTTATTGCTACCTAGAATTAATAAATAAATCCATGTTTATAAACACTCCTACTTTATCCAGGCTCGTGACCGATAGTAATCCTAGAAGGGATCCAGGGGAAGTTATAAACACATTTTTAAAATAAAACAAATCTGATTTCTTACTTCATAGTTTGCTTGTACATTTTTCATTAGGTCTATTGATTGATCTATATTGAGTGGACATAATTGACGATGCCCAAGAGGATCGAATAATTGATTACCAGAAGATATCCATGCTTGTATTTTGTCACTTAATATATATTTTTTATCATGTTTATTAGTAACATCATCGAATTCGGCATTATCACAGTGATAATCTAAGTAGGACAATAGAAATGGACGATGCTGTTTATTAGATAACTTCGTCGATGAGAATGACTTCATTAGATTTTTATGATGATGGTTACTATTATTTTCTAAATAACATCTTTCATGACGATCAAGATTTCTAGGTAGAAAAAGAAATGAAAAAAACGAGTAGAAAAAGTGAACAGAATGAATGGGTTTAAAACGATCGTATCACGTTTTGTGACAAGATAGTCTTAGAGAAGTATCTATTCGAGGAATTTAAAACAAAACTTCCCACCATGGGCTAAATAAAGACAAAAACATAGGGCGTAGGTAAATGGAATAGAAATTAATAACTGAACAAGACGAACAATAGATTTCATACAACTAGGCATTATTATAAATATGAATAAAGCTTTATTTAAATGTGATAAGTCCGATAAATTATGAAGTTCTAGAAACTTTGTGAATCAACAATATAAACCAATGATAGCCAATGCATAGTTTCGAGGTTAACAAATACCAATAATTTACGGTGAGGTTATTGTATCAAATCCAGACCAATTTTCATTTAAATAACTCCTATACAAGGGAAATAACTAACAGTCATCCAACTAGTAGCGAATGAATACATTTTAACTTAATAAGAGAACACTTTCTAGCTGATCTCCTTCATACCACAGTGTCTGAAAGCAAGAGAATTAATATATATTAAGACTACTCAGACTGAGTTAGTTAAAAACAATTTTGAATATTGAAAAATATTAGTAAACATTAGCTTACTTGTAAACATTACGAAAATAAACATAAAGTATACGAATAGTTTCTAGATCATCAGTGACAAAAGCATTTCTAACGATATCCGCTTCTTCATTTGTGTGACTAGTAATCTTGGAATTTCCTGAAATCGATGATGATGACGACGGACGATAGGATAAAAACCCAGCAAATTGTTTCCACCCGCCTAGACCAGCTAAACGGGTTAAACGGGTTCGACCTAAACCAACAACGGCTAATCGACGTAAAATATTGTCAGATATTTTATTCAAATCATTGACTTTGTTGTTTGTTGAATCCAAAGTAGATTTATTCGTCATGATACTGCAAGCAGTTTTAAGTTTACGCAAAAGATATAGCTCAATAGGTGCCTGTCAAAAGTGTATAAAAATTTAAATAAGTATGAAACAATGCTAACAAACATATTTATTGAAACTAACGATTTGGTCTGGCATTTTAAACATTTCAATGAAAACTAGTGGATACAGCAGTATCTCAGATAATAGATTTGAATATTAGGATGTTTTGGTTGTGATAACTTCAAACTCAGTTCATTAAATGAATGCAGGCCATATTATTATCGCAAATAAGTAGTGGAACCTTGTTTTTCAGGTATTTTTTCTTGGATGTTCTAGCTATTTTCAGTAAGCACTTGACTGACTTGATCAAAAAAACCATAGAAACAATGATGCCATCTATATGACCATTGAAACCAAGGAATAAAAAAACTTTCTCTGTAGCTCATAAATTCTCAGGAGTGATAAGACACAACTCCAAATTCGGGTTCAGACCAACAACCTTAATGTCGTACAGAGAGTATAATACTTCTAGATCATGAAATCAGAATCAAACCGTTCATTGTGTCCTCACTAATGACTGGCTACCAGATGAGTTTCCTTACATTCTAACAGGAAACAGTAACTTCTGGAATCAACTAAGTGGAAAATGATGTAGTTATTGAACGATGACATTGGTTAAGGATCGTTGTATATTACGAACAGGCTGAAGATGAGACTATGACTTAGTAATCCAGCGTACAATGCTTGTTGAGATTCGTGAAGATCCTTTATTAAATCCCATAGGAATTCGTAAGCGTCCACTACTGAGGAGTTCTAAGGTAGAACGAAACAGTTTTAATGTATTTCCAGGTTCTCAGTGGAGGACGATAATGAAGATTATTTGAATTAAAGTAAGTAATAATCAATAGTGCTGAGTATAAGTCGATATATATACAATCGTAAACAATGCTATTAGCTGAATCTAACAGACAATTGATGCTTTACAGTTCAGTGCAAACAAGTAGAATGAAATAATCATAAGAATCTTTACGCGTTTAAGTTAACAAAACCTATTTTTTCGTATTTACAAGTGTTGTAACGTGAGATGCTGCAGAGTGGAGGTTAGCGAATTACCGATCGATCCAAAGACGCGTAAGACACGTAAGAACGGCCTACAGTTCCGATTGGTCCCGCTTCCCTGTCTAGCCCAGCCAGTTGACTCCAGAACGCAAGTCTCAGCCTCTGAGATATGAATCATTATATTTCAGACATACTCTGTTTATATATCAATCAAGCAGACCACATTGTACCATAAAATAGAAAACAACATTTGTACAATATTTGACAAGTGAAATAAATATTGACCAATAGGAAATGTCCATTTAAAGTCCAAGGACACCATTAGACTTAACAGGATAATTATTGGGATATTTTTCTGAATATCCCAACAACAAGGGATACTACTGTAAGCAAAATAAACTCAAAGAAATCGGGAAGATCAGAATTTATGAATGATCAAAATATTAAACAAATTAAAAAAAAGTAGTTTACCTCCATCCACATTATTGTTTTAGCTTTGGACAACTTCAAATATTCCAATGAATTTGAAAAATACCGTAATACTACATTATTCATTGTGTTTTCGTCGTTATTCGAAGGTGAAGGCAACTTGTCAAACATTAATTCATAGAGTTCATAACATTTTTTAATAAATTCTCGACGGATATGTGTAGGTGATGTTTTACAATGTGACAAATGATTATCTTGTTTTTCCATATCATTCATGAATTGAACAATTTTATCAATCTTATTATTACTAATATTATTATCATTATTGGCATTATTACTGAGAGTTATTGTATTCAAGGCATAAAAAGCATTAGAGAAATAACAATCATGCGGCTGAGCTGAACGAACAATATTCGAATGACGCGTAGAACGTATTAACCGACTAAGATAAATTATATCATCGAAATTGCTAGGATTATTAATGTTATTATTTGAAGAGTAGCATATAAGGCAATAGGTCCTTGCATTTGATATTACAACTTTATTTTTACCACTGGTTGTTGACATAAATAACCATAAATCATGTAATGCATGTGTTGGTTGACTAAGTGATACTTTTTTCAATGGTATTTCATTCAAAGTGGATTTCTAAGTATTTTTTAAAAAAAAGAGCGTAAAATAGGAAGTTGAGATTCTTATAATGGTAGACTTAGTTTTTTGAAAAAAGGTTATAATAATATAGTGAATTATATTCATGTGTCGTTTGAAGGCTCAAAATTACAGTTTTTGTTAATAAATGGTACATCTTACGCGTTAGGATAACCGTAATGACTTTTTTCCAACTCATATTTCTGATTGAAATCATGAGTCACTTGAAGCTAGACCACCATGGAAAACCTGGAAGCACTGGACGGCCGTTTCATCCTAGTATGTGACTCCTCAAATTGGTTACTCTTACTTTATCTTGCTACTACTAAGATGCCTCATGGTTGTATAACTGCTGCTATATAAACATAACCGTTTTATTACAAATTTTTGACTTCTATTAAAAATAAAAAATTTATACTCTTTGCATTAATTGTGAGTGCGGAATATTGCTGTTAAAGTATTGCAGTGCATTAGCTGTTCAGTCCAACTGGTTTGCATGTATTCCCTATCATATTAGAATCTCTCGATTGATTGTAATTTGGGATTACAGTAGGCCATCGTAAATCATAACAATGTGGTTTCACCTAGAAAGACTTAATTGTTAGGAAAAATGAGTCTGATGATTTTTATCTTGATAGCTGGCAAAATGAATTGCGTTATCAATAAATAATATCAACGAATGAAAAAAACTACTTCCAAAAATGTTAGTAATAGGAAACTTTGCAAACAAGATAAGAAAAACATACGTAAAAATGTAATTGGACTTCAAGAAGGTAAGATAAAAATCCGATGGTTATAATGACCCTTCATTACAAAGGAAATAATAATTGCTAACAAATAACTTATCTATGTATTGTTGAATGAAATAAATAGATTAGTATCTTTTATAACATGGACTAAGGGTGATGTGATGCATATGAAATACAATAATGTACAACACAAATTTTCCTATGATAAAACATCTAATGTTATGTCAATGTAGGATAGAATATGGTCACATACTGCGAATAGATTAGTTAAACAGATCTGAATGTCTATTTAATTTCTAAATGAATACTACGTAAGTAGACAATCAGATGAAAACAGAGGAGAATATTGTGTAACACTGTAAAGAATAAAGTTGTTACACTTCACAAATGGTATAGCAAAAGAAATGAACAACAAGAAGATAGTAGTAAGCCTGTTAATCAAAAAAACAACATCAATAGTAATAAAGAACTAAGAGATAAAAGAAGAAAAGATATTAGGATATTATTATTTATTTAAAACAATAACGATTTAATGTGTCTGTCATAACCCGATCAATTTTAAGCCACATAACAAACAATAACTGCGTATTTCGCTTGCATTTACGAAATTAATGTGGTTCCGATCAAATACTCGTACAATGAACAAATATTCCAACATACACTGATGAGTTCGGTGTAGCAAATGAGCAACGAGAAATTAAAAAACTTAATACGTATTAATAACCAACTTGTATGAAACTTCGAGAAGGAATTGCAAGTCAATAATTTATTTTCAATAATACGATATTATTTGTGTACTTGATATCCATTAGTGTGTTTATAAGTATACCAAATAATACTTATTTGTACATATAAATTTACTCACTGCGTTAATACAATTCATATCAGGAAACCATGTGTTTACAAGACCAGCACGTAAAAGGCTTCGATTAGGATTGCTAAAATAAATAGAAATAATTTTTTAAAAACTAACGACTAATTAACATATGTTCTTCAATCGGTAAATATTTTTGACCAACTCAAGTCATAAGAATAGTAAAAGTGAACCAGACTACAGTATCTCAAATTGAAGTGGATCGGGTTGATAAAGTACCTACAGATTTTAGGATATAAATTAAAGGTGAAGTTATCTTGGGAAGTTTGACATGGGGCTGAGATACTATGTTTCAGATGAATGCCTTTTACACCTATTGAAATCCAAATGGATCAACGAATGGTTTGTTTTGTACTTGTAATTTCTGTACTCTATACTTAGAGCTTCATCAATGCATGAGAAAGATGCTGTTCAGTTTTCAAAATCGACTTTCGAGGGAGAAATAACCATGGGGAGTTGAATACTTAGTCTACAAGATGATATTTCCAGCTCACAGCATCATTTGTTTCAACCTTGGTCTTCCCAGCTACACAGTATTTCAAGCAACCAAAGTGTGACTCGAAGCGCAATTTGAAAATAAACACAAGTTATAATCTACGAAGTACGCGCAGGAAAAGTAGTTCATGGTACCTGTAGAGTCTACAGAAGATTTCATTTAAAATGTGTAAGGATTATTTTGGTGAAAAAATAGTCTGTTTTATTAAGCCGCTTGCTTGATCAGTCAGTCAGTAACAGACTGACTTGCTTGATAATGTAATGCAAAATCTTGATAATCACTTTTTGAGAGAATCCTAGTAGAACGCGTGCTTGTATTTCATATACTTACCTACGAAGTATGTGTCTGTATTTCGTCAAGACCAACAAAGTACCTCAAAATACATTTATGGAGAATTTATTTACATTTTCTTGAAATTAATGAATAAACGACAACCAAAAAACACAAATGAATATCTCATGAAAGGCACAGAGAGTCCTACAAACAACGATTAATTGTTCGGGAGTACCAGGGAAAACAAACGTATGGTCAACAAATTTAAACCAAACAAAAGAAATTTTGGGGTGTCTACTAAATGTGAGTTTAGGAAGTAAATAAACACTACATTTCCTAGATACGTGGTGACCATCATATCTACATGAAAAAAACGAAGTAAAATTGTATTGTGGTACATTACATTCCACTTGCTATTCATTATCCCTAGCCAGATAATGGGGATCAGGTTGACCATAATACCAACAGAAGCCACCTATCAGAGCTAACCGATAACTGCTAGTTATATTACAGTAGTAATTTAAACAACTAAACGATTGTGAACAATGAAGCCAATAGATGCTGGAATCCACAGCAAACAGGGTACTCAATATACTGAGCTGTATCTTGGTAACCCTCCATACTAAGTACCAACTTCATCTCAGTGATACAATTCAGTCCACAAATCAAATCTGGTTTCTAAATGTAAGTCATCTATAGATACTATGTTTTGTTGTTACTCATTTTACTTCCCGAAATTCTTTGAGTCAAGAACCAATTAATATGAATGTTTAATTTTGTAAGGTTCTCAAATAAATTAACTGTAAACAACTTCCAGAATACCATAGCTCGGGTATTTTTTATACCGAAAATTGTGCAAATTATGACGAACAAATAAATTCGTAAATTTAAAACTTGCATAACCTTGTTCAAGTATGATTACCATTGAAGCTTTGACAGATTGTCAGTGACATAAGTGTTCACCCCCAGATGCCCTGGTACGGACGAGAGTGGGGAGAGTACGCTCTCCCTCTCGAAATGCTTTCACATGGCCACGCGTACATAGCCTCTGCCAGAGAAGTCCTACTCACTGCCTTCTCGCGGCGTGGGTGTTATTTACGGAATTGAGAGGACGAAAAGTGAATTCCGGCGCATTAACCGGGTTGGTGGACATGGAGAGTCCACCTAGGGAAGTTGGAATACCCTGATTCCAAACCGATGGTACCCATGGGCTCCAGTATCCTGACAGAACAAATGCGTATGAACCAATTGTTGGTCACTGGCCACCATGGGGCGGGATCTCCTTACGATGCTCTTCTGCCTTGTGGATCAGAACTTTAGGTCGAAGGCTCTGGGTATGGCCCCCTAAGAAAACCACCTACTTCGGTTTGGCTACCCGGGCAGTATTACAGCCCTCACACAAATGAAATGAGATTTGTGTGGCGCATATGTATCTGGTTCCCCCTTGTACCAGTATTTATGTATTCAAATAAATAAATAGACTTAAGTGTTCATAGTAATCAATACATTATGCTGCTTTGCACAGAAAGTAACAGAAAAGCGAAACAAGGCAGCAGGGGTAAAATAGTTAATTACAATTATTATTTTTATACCGAATGCTTACCTACAATCCAATACAGATAAATATACTAAATTACCCACGAACCGAAATGAGAAGGTGAACCATTGGAACGAATTTGAAATATAAGAGCATGGAAGATTTAACGATTGTCTAATGCCAGTATACTCATCATACGATAAACATGAAATATTATCATATTTTTCATCCGAATCTGAAGTAGTATCATTAAAAGCTGTAGTAATATAATACAATGAAGTAATACATATGAAACTAGTAAAGTGCATGAGATTTTTCCAAAAAGTCAGCCATTGAATGACAATGATGCTATGGAAGTATTAAAATATTTTCACGGTACCAATCGTAAAACATGTGCCCGTGATTAAATGTAAACTACGAATCACACTCATATTGAGGAACTTATTCAAATCTTGACGGTGGCATGCGTTGAGCTGATAAATTATGGAAATAGAGGTCAGCTCTTACAGGATAATGAAAGTTGTTAAAAGATCACGGTAAAATTTATGAGTCTTACATTTGGACTATCTATTCCTTTAAAATATGATAATACAATATACTGTAGAGGCATGAATATTAAAAGATATGGAAACCAAACTAGACTAAAATTTTATCCAGAATGACTAAGATTTAGACATGATCTACTGCAAGTAAATACTAACTAATTTAACTGATGAAACCCTCAGTACATGTATTTTGATAAACTAAATTACGTTAATTAATTTTTCAACTCAATTGTACACGAATCCACATACTCGTGAACTAACTATTCATTGAACTGGGACCATTATTTCAAATGGCAACACTTAACCTGCTCAAACCTTAAACCGTTAGCATACATACAAAGTAACGCTAAACCTTCACGTTAAAAAGATCATATTTTTTCACACCCACTTAAATATATACGAATACACACACATGTCTTGTATAGAATCACCTCTGACCTGAATGATAGTAACATTAGCACAATTAGGCTTGTCCAGGGTACATTAAATGTTTTGACTTTTCAATTCGTACCATTTAAAATTGTTCTAATGTAATTTGGTTTGTTCTTCTATGACGAAACAAATTACAATACCACAGATCAGCAATCCAAATGAGATATTACAAATATACTATAATTCAAATGGATGTATAGGTCATTGGTTCTAAAATTCTTTTGAGTGTTATGTTCACATCTGAATTAGGTGTAACTAACAGTCGGGTAAGTGGATCCATGTACTACTGAGTTGGAAGACCGATCAAGTTAATTTAGTTTGCCGGAATATATGTTGGATTTTCTGTTCATTGGGGTATTACAAATATATTATTACTTCATTATCAAAAACAAATTACTCAGTGCTTAAGTTATTTAAGACTATCAAATCAAAACTTGATAGTAAAACTTATGACTTTGTAGGCTAGTTTTTACAAGGATAGACAGACTTGATCAAAACAGTGCCGAAGATGATCAAGATTGGTGTGAATCGCTTTAGCTTTACCTACATGAAGACTAATATCATCGGTGGGTCTATTATCATAGGTCATGAAACTATCCAGAAGTGCGAAATCAGAAATTAGGTTTACTCATTCACCGGCTACTTCTGTATGAGCCACACTAAGTGTGAAAGATAATGAGACTAACCGATTGCGTAAAGCGAATTAGATAAAACGAGGCTCGAACCTAGGAATTCACGAGTGACAGCCGAACCCCTCAACCATCAAGCCACCGCTTCACAGACACGAAATTCTTGATAATTTCCAATGGATAATCACTAAGAGTGATCTCAGATACAAGCTGTTTTTAAGCACTTTATACTTTTATGGTCTAGAGAACATGTTATGTTTGTGGAAGTTGATCATCAAGTGATTAAATGCTATCACATGGTAAGACTTTACTAAAAGCTAAAATAAGTAGAATGTGTAAATAAAGGTTGGAAATAAACAAGTACTTACGTAAACTAATAGATATATTGGAAAGATTATTTGATAGACTATCAATGGAATCTTCTTTAGGATCTGTATTAGTACAAGTTTCCGATTCGCTTCCTTCATGAATCGAAGTCAAACTGGAAGTACATTTCTTTAATTATATGAGATAAAATATTACTTCGATAATCCATGAGTGACCTTTGTTTCCTTATTCGCTATGGGATGGCTTTCGTCATCTTTAAGGAGGCGAGTCTATAGGAAGGAATCACCGTACGACTGGTTAAGACTTCAGTACCTTTTTCTCTGATAATATATCCCGAATCTTTTCAATTGACCTCACTAGTTTTTCACCGGAATCAGGCAACTTGGGAAGAAAACTAAAATAAATGAATCAGATGTTCTCATTTGACAAACTGGTCGCGTAAGTGAAGCTGCTTTGAGAGCAATTCTTCCAGCTCCAAAACTGTTAGGGACTCTAAAGATCGTCGGTTTTCCATCCAAGATCGAGTGGAGAAGTCTTAAAAAGGAAGTAATGCTATGAGATAAAAGACAAATAAAATGTCACAAACAGCAGATATCAACCATAAGGTGGTTTTATAAGTAATTATGGCGTGGAATAGATACTAATAAATACACGAATCAAAAGGCAGGCACAGATTTAAAGACAGGTAGCCTAGCAATAAGGACTAGGAGAGTTTAAAAAACCTGATTCCAAACCAATGGTACCCATGGGCTCCAGTATCCTGACAGAACAAATGGCGTATGAACCAATTATTGGTCACTGGCCACCATGGGACTGCATCTCCTTACGATGCTCCACTGCCTTGTGGATCTGACCTTTAGGTCGAAGGCTCCAGGTGTGGCCCCCTAGGAAAACCACCTGCTTCGGTTCGGGCACCTGGGCAGTATTACGGCCCTCACACAAACCGAATGGTCTATGCGGCGCATATCTATTCGGTGCCCCCTTGTATCAATGTTTAAGTAAATAAATAAACACACCATAAGGCATTAGACGCAGTTGGTTGTGAGTTGAGAAACATGTTATGAAAATTCTGGCCAATAAATATAAATGGGTACTCATAAAGAACTGTAATGGAATAAGTAGACATTTACAGAGATAATAATGCATTTTTACGCCCAAGTCGGAGAAAAAACTGCAGGCGTTCATCCACATGTCTACAAATCGCTCATTTACTCTGATTTTAACATAGACTTTCAGGTTTTTATGTGGTGAATTATTGATTTATATCGCCTGTATTTTGATTAGCTGACTACCAGATTTTCTTTTCCGATCCCATTTAAAGAGTTGCTCAACTTAGTAAGATTTACTCTCGTCATAACTATACTTACCTGAAGCAAACTAATGACTGTAAACTGCTCAAGATAATTATCTTGAGCGTTTTACAAAGAAGTCTATTAACAGCCCAAAAGTAGCACATTCTTAGTAGATTCTTCCGTTTAAATAGAAAATCAACAGGCGGTATGAAAGTTTATGGTTCTCAGTCACATTTACCCTAAAATTTTCTCAAAATTGACGAATTTTATCCCAGAGTCAGAAGATTGTACTCGTACTACAATTTGCTCATATTTTTTGCCTACTGACTAATTTATATTTATCAGCATTTTTTCACGGCTATCTTAGGAAGTGTCTACGTTGGTCAGTATGATTATATTAAGGTATTTTGACAACTATCTGAAGCTTTCGAAAGTAATTTTAACATGGAAATATTGAGATCACAGCTTTAGTCGTATTTGTTATATAACTGAGTAGAGTAGAAAATCACCCGACACTAAGTTACCAAGAGCCAAAACTAGTTTAAATAAAGTTCCAAATGAGCTAGAAACATACCGGTAGCGTGCAGCGTGAACGCCGCGCTGGCTCCCAACAGTTCAGTTTCAGTTTCAATTTGGAAGAGACAGGAGGCTTGATAACCTGTGTTAGTCCTGGCAATGGTGGTCTCTCAGTTGATCCAACTTTCTTTTGAAAGAGTCGACGGATGGAGCCACACCCACATTCTGGAGTAATAAATTCCACTCGTTGATGATTCGATGGGAAAGTCGATAGTCAGTCGACAGGTAATTTATTCTGAGTTTGTGGATTTTTGGAGAGTCCTCGTAATTTCTCTTTTATGGAAAACAAAAAATAAGGGCATATCTGGCGCAAATTGATCACTAAGTAATTTGAAAACTGTAATCAGGTCACCTCTAGTGCTTCGATATGACAACGGGAATAAATCTAGTTTAGCCAGTCGAGCATCATACGGAAGCTTCGCTATTCCGGGAATCAGCTTAGTTGCAGTTCTGTGAATCTTTTTAGAACCTCACTGTCTCTTTAATTAGGGCTTAGCCACTTGTGTGGAGTACTCAAGTTAAGGACGCACAAACACTATACAAAATCAAAAAAAGTTTTAGCTACGACATCACTAAAGGCACCACGTATTGACCATAAGGTTCTAAAATCTTTGGCGTCTATTGCACGACAGTGTGCAGTAGTTTCTAAGTCTTTACTAACGATGTGTTCAGTTTCGATAAAGGATTATGTACTGATGACCTTCGGAGAGTGGTTAACTCATGAGGTAATGACACCTAGTTATACAACAATTGACAAGAGGAAGGAGTGAAATAACTGAATAATCAGCCCACATATAAAGTTATCCTCAATAGTAAATAAAAAGGTGGTTTACATGCCTATATGTTTACATAATAGTAGTCGGCCTAATTTTGTGAATTACGGTTATTGCCCATTGTTGTCGTCACCAATTGACATCAATTATGATGGAAAAGATTAGGGTAATGTATTGAAGTTGAACTGGAGTATTTAGTTAGGTTAATAAATAAGGGTATTGTTTTTCGACACTAACAGACATCAGTTATGGGGCCATACATTGTCACCTCCCCATTTACAACCTGAAATACATGGTTGAGATTTAGAGTAAGGTTAAGAAATGTCATCTAGTTTCACCAAACGATATTGAATATACAATGGACAAGTTCACGTGCTGTAACAAACGATCTGCCTCAGAAGCAGTTATGTTTCGTGATTTAGTTTCAGCATTATCTTAAATTGATTTTTGGACGTAATAATTGGGTGTTTCTATTGATTTCGAGTGTTTTAAGAACTCTTAGGGCCAGTGGAATGTCAATGAGCCCTAACCAAATCGTCCGGCAGTCGGATCACTGAATTTCGTGTAATAATAATAATAATATATTTCTGCATGTGCATGTACACACCGTTTTTACAGGCATAATCTATAAATTACAACATTTGTTGGTTCGCAAAATACTTCCCAACTTATTAAGTTTGTAGTTGTTATAAAGTGAAGTCGTAGAGCGCTTGCTGTAAACTATGACCTTGAGAGGACGCGTACGTTAAGTTTGCTCCAAACGTCAGAAGTTTCATAGCTGTGCTCTCAGAGCAAGATTCTGAAGGAGAAAAAAAAAGAAACAGAGGAGCAGCATGGCACTTGGATATAAACGCCAAAGGTTGCTTAACATTGTGTAGTAGAACGGACAGAGGTATAATAAATTAGAATAAATTCATATTATGTCTTGTTAGAGTGAAGTGAAGTCAGAGGCTCCATATTAGAGAATGTACTAATAAAGAACAACGAGTTGTGATGTTTAACAAGTTGGAGTAAGCTCACATGAAGGAAGGGAAGTCAAGGTTGGTAGTTCATCATCCCTCGTCAAGCTGAATAACAACTACAGTGCACCAACTAATTGCACGCCATGAACTGACTCATGCGGTGTTGATCATACTCTCTTCCTTGTATCTGCTTTTACTAATATATCTTTGTGCCTGAATGCAACAAAATGGAAATCCACGTTAGGCGCTAGACGTGAGATGTGACTTTGACGTTAGTTGTCCCTCAATAATTTGACACAGGTCATCTACGTTAGTGATCTATAGGCCAAATACTGACACTTTTCACCTTGTTAATAATAGCGTGAAATTTATTTATTACTACAACAAATATTTCTTGCAAAAAGAATTACGAGTTAGTCCCTATTGGTCTGACTGCGATTTGATCGAGTGATGCCAACGAAATATAGATGCCCCCTACAATCATATATAATCATTTATTTAATTCGCGTTATTAAACTATGGAACAAGATAGGAATGAATTTTCAATGCATATATTTTATGTACTCGTTGCTGCAGACAGACAGTAAGAGAAACGAAGCAGAAAGACGTACTAAAGAAGGCAAACATTCCAACTCACCATACTTCTCGTGGCAAATGTTAATATAGATCGAAACAGATTATGGGCAATGTGACAATGAGATAGACGTTGCACAAAATAATGATTGTCAGACGAACACACATAAGTACATTCAAGGATCATCGGCGTAGAAATACAAGATCGCAAACATAAGACGTGCATTTGTGCTAAAGATTGGAATTTCCTGTGAAAAGTGTAGTTATCGCGAGGGCAAAAATGATTCAATGTCACATGCTGTTTCAGTCAATAAGGTGTGTCAAAAGCTAAGAGGAATCATAAATGTATTAGTACTAGACACTACAGGCTTTTCCTTAATTCAGATTGGTCATCTCAAGACCGTCAGTATGTCATAAGTTTACCTCAGTTTCAGTTTCGGAAGGACAAGAGATTGGATGGTCTTCGTTCGTCCTAACGATGGAGGCTGCTTTGCTTAGAATGCAATAATAGATGGAGATATACCACGCACCAAGGTTTGTAGAATCTTTGAAATAACAATGAACCCTCGAAAGGTTGTTCTTTAGAATGAATGAAACACGTGAGAAACTTAACATTGGATAGTGAGTCAGTAATAGAATTTTTCCACGACTAATGGTGACGAATGAGAATTGATTAATCGACATTGTGGGGCTAACATTTGAGGGAAACTTGTTGCCTCCTGCGAATTGTTTATTTACCCTGTTCTGTTAAATATATAATAATCTTTTGGTAGGATTTTTTCACTCTCTGAGCTTATAAAAGGAAAGGAATAGCCGAGCCAACATATTAGGATGGTTTAAGCTAAAAAACAATCTGACAAAATGACTTCAAAATAAGACCACGATGTAAAATTTACGTGCAGCTGTAGTGGATGTAGATTAGCAGTAGAACGAAATCAGTAAGTTCGTATTATCACGGTCTAAGTTCGTTATTAGTACTACTTTAATAATAGACCTACTACTGAAATTTTAGGTTTGTCATGATATGACTGTCTAATCTATCATTTAAAAGTCACATCATTGCCCATTATGACTCATCGTATCGTGACAATTAACAATATGATGCTTAGCACTTCTGAAGTACACAGTTGGGCTGGGCATAGAACAATTTGTTTAACATAAATGGTGATACGTTGCACATATTGACGACGACTGCAATTGGTTTGTGAAGTTAATTATGGTTTATTTAGTTACGGGGAGATTTTCCCGACCTCATTATTGTTTAACCGTGATAAGATTTAATAAAACTACTACTACATATGAAAGGCCCTTTTACTACGTCAAAACGGTGATAATTATGTAAAATGCGAACAGATAATGAGACATGCCAGTTTATAGACAATATAAAATTGTTACCGAAGGTACAATATTCACTGTAGTGGGTTACTCAGTTAGGTTGATATTTTACAAGACACACTGGTCATAGAGTTATGGAGAACAACACTTCTCACGTATGAATGTAGGTAGTATTAGTATGACCCGTATGACCCGTACATAGCACAGCGTACATACTCCTCATTTGGTGCGGATGCCCGACCGAGCGCCTTCAGCCGGGGATGGTCCGGTAAAACTGATGAGGTCAGAGTCAATATCAAAGACTTGCAGAGCCATTTAATCTCGAAATTTAGTCATGGCTTAAAGAAGGGTTTAAATGAACCCCATTCACTTTATTCGCATCGTAATCACGTAGTGGTTTTTCGAAACAGGTTGCAGGTATATCTGCAGGTTAATACGGGATAAAAACATCAATGATGACTAAATAGAACCTCATATTATTTACTGAGCTTATAGATAAATAAGTAACCAATAATTTAGTCAATATTCGCATCAACAGTCTAAGGCGTGGGGCATTATTCATTTAGTACCTGAAAAACTACCTAGACCCCATTTTTCGATTTTAGAATCATATATGTTATTTACTTAGGTGTATTAGGTTGTCGTGTTGTGGCTGTAGAATAACAATGAACCCTAGACACAAAATCCCTCCAATCGAGTGCGTTCTATTTCAAAAATTTTACCTTTGGTCGTCGGGCGATGAATGAAAAGTAATGAGGGTCGACGAAAAGTGAGCAAGGAACATTTTCGAGACTGCTTGTCTCGGCCATGAGGCATGATTAGTTAACTCAACTTCCTTCTTCAGACTAAATATATGGTCTGATTGTTTAGCTTTCATTTCCTCCTCAGAGGTCCTCATGAAAAAGCATTCTAAATGTCGCGTAGGACAAGACAATACAAACCATTGTGTGACCTTGAAGTAAGATCGCATAAATCACTCAGTTATATTGCGGCCAGTCAACTATGTTCTATTACGTTTATAAGCCTTGTAGCGTAATTAGGTTAATCAGTATATATAATATACTGCATGCTTCATCGTTTTTCGTGCAAAATTAGTCTGTCAAAGCGAATGATACGTGAGAACAAATGTAGTTTGATATCGTGTCTCTGGCTCTAGGTAACTGTATATGGAGTTAAACTGCAAATTGTCATTGTTGAGTGATAATGGGTTCGTAAAGCAGTAAATAAGTCAAAACTAACGGAGGTCGTGAAGCTAAGTAAAGCCATGTTTAACTAAATAGCAACTCTGGAAATGTGGTAGCTCACATCCAAGCAATTAGATATTCTCAGTCCAAATTCAGTAGGCCTCCGAAATTATAGTTATATTAGTTCCTAACCACTAGACCTTTGAAGATGAGCGTAAAACTGATGAGTTTTACACTCAACATATAACGCTAAGGGAAGGTCAACAGCAGGGAACGCGGCTACAGTGAGTTGAAATGTCATGTTCAGGTCATGCAGGTGTGATCACACCACATAAATTCTTGTATTCTGTATCAAATGTATTACTCTTTTCTTAGTTCATATGTGTTCTTCAGCAACTCTAGGCGTCATGTTGCTGACAATCATGATTGGACGAGTCAGTATAGGCTGCAATGAGGCATCTACGTAAGACCTTGTAGTGGCATTAGACTCTAACCACACTTCCTTCGAAGCCGAACATATAATTACTTAGTGGATTTATAGTCAACAGTCGACATGAAGAGAAAGTTAACAAAGGAGTATGTGGGAGAATTTACTCATCCAATGAGATGGCATGGTTTGGCATTTCAGATGTGGTCATTCTCCATAACTTGTCTTTCCCACATCATATATATTATTCTATCTTTAGCCAAAAGCACTAGACGATATATAGCTTATTCTTATGGTACGATGAGTCAAAATGGACAATGATGTGACTTCCACGAAAGATTTTATTGATTAGGCAGTCAATTAATGACAAATCTACAATTTTGTGATTAGGTTTATTATGATAGTAGTACTAATACTAAACCTTTTTGCCCTAAATATTATTAAATGCAGAATGATAATAGTTGATTGCATTCGATGAACATTATTTGTGGTACTCTGAATGTTTCTTCCCATTCGCATTCTTCAATCAACAAAGCATCATTACTCTTGGGGTTTCTTCATAGAATAGATCGTAATTTTCGGTGCTTACCCGAAGCCTCATCTGAAAAAAAGTGGCCGTATGTTCCTTTGACTTAATGAGAACATTTGACTCTTGACACTTGTTTTAAGAAGTGACTAAAAGTTAACTAGAAAAAAATATAAACCATGCTCAACTCATCCAGAAGCTCAAAACATACTGTCATTCAAGCACAAGAGGCCTAAATAGAATATGATAAGGATTTATCATGTCCCTCAGAGTCCTATCTACCCAAATAGAAGAAGTAGATCAAACACAGTATTTCAGTGATAATTCGCACTTAAGAGGATACAGACATATGATAGAACACGAAAGAGCTCGCACTAAACCACATGAGAAATTCAGTTACTTGTGCTACACCATGCCTAAAGATATAGCAGTGAAACCCTCTGCTATGTCTTTAGAAAGGAGTTTCGTTGATTACCTAAGCTATGAAGGTACTTTGGATGGACTACTTTATGCGTTACGCCACAAACAATTATGTTAAACAATAAATTGTTTTTCATTTCAACTGAATACCTCTCTATAACAAAGTGTGGTTTTCAGTTATTAGGAACTATATCATAAAGCGTAGATATTCGACTAATTCTATCAAAAATTCGGAAAAAATGTTTTACAATCTCACCAATACGTTTCCTTATGAAAAACCTATATATTATAAATCAACTGCCTCTAGACATGATCACACTAATCGATATTCACAATTTTACGGAAAGTTTATTCTACTGTTGAGCACGCACTCATTTTCAAAAGCCATAATGAGTCATCTTGTTTAAGTGGCGTTTTTACTTTATCAGAGCGGGCAGTTTGTTTTTACGTACTTTTCGAGGTAACTTGTCTTATGCGCTTCGTGTTTTCTTTTCGGTTTGACTCTGAGTTTCTTTATGCTTAGTGTGTGTTTCCACTTGCACCAGTAAAATATCCTCTTCTCGAAGCATGGCTCTAAAGCATATTTTGTTCAAATGGCCTAGTCCTTATACACATTAGTTTTAGGCAGGCTTGACCAGGTTCGCGATAATTTGGTGATATGTAATTTTGTGGTTAATGACAGACTGAGTTACCAGCAATTTGGTGAGTTAAAGGAGTCTCCATAATCACTGCTGGTTTGTCCATGGAGTGAACTGCTATTAGTATGGATGAATCGATCAGTTTTGAGTTCACATTCTAGGTTTCGGCCCAAAAATCAGTCGTCCATATGGCTGAATTGTACTTTTGCATTTTTGCTGATGCCAGTTTTTGATGGAGCTTTTATTCTATTTGCCTTAATTCTGACGTTCAACTGTAAATCCAAATCTTAGTTCCTCACACATTCCTAGCCTTCATATCTTCCTATGAAGTAGGTTGACAATCTCAGGGTCAGGATACCGTTCCTAATTCTCAACATGGTTTGTGATTTAGTTCGTAAATCAAGTTTGGTTGCTTAACCCAGAACAGAGCGATTTCAAAGAGCGTTCAAAACCACTGTTGCCCATGCTACTAAAAGGATATCTTTTATGATTGCAAAAAGCTGCTAGCTTTCTCTTTCCTATAAAATCAACTCATGACGCAAGCTTGTCAGGCTCAGTAATTACAAAAGTCATACTTGGTTAGTACTAGGCAGATTGTACGCGAAACAAATCCAGGTGATACTATAATTTATGGACGTACCAGCCAGATTTACGACCTCAGACCTTGGATTTCGGCGCGAAATTCTTTATCCATATGCATAAATAGCGCATCTTGCAATTTAACTGATGTCAGGTCGTGATGAAAACCTTGAATCTAATCCCTATACCTAACCACCAACTGTAAATCACAATCCCGCGGGACTATTTTATGGACGACCTTTATACGAATTTTAAGTGACCTTGAGAAATATTAGCCAAACAGAAGTATAAAGTAAAAATATATTATAAAAAACCCATTAATTACAGTGGATATTCTTCTTTTACATGATTTTTAAACTTGTTAAGGTTAGATAAAGGTTCAGAAGTTTTGAAATCATAATGCGTGCGGTATAGGAACTCGTCCATATGGCTCCATAATAATCGTCCTCTGGAGCCATGGTAGGGTCTTAAAAATTCATCCAGCCTAGACCATATGGCTTCAATATTGTTTGTATGAACCCCGTCGTATCGACAAAATGGCATTTGTGCACTACAACATGATGCACAAACCCGAATCTCTGGAGGCATCTATAGGCTTTCCAATCATCGGTATAGATCGTGGTGCCGGGCTGGACGTACTCCTTTATGACTGGTATTATTGTCGTTGCCTGACGGTTTCTCACTCTTTGAAAATGTCCCTTTTGGGTTGAACGATCATAAAATCCAAGTACCTGTCAAGTATATTTACGGGAGTGCTACTTACCCAATCTTCCTTGATAAGACGTCCTTTGTTGTATTTTCGCTTTCTAACTACTGTCTCATCTATTTCCACTATTCTTCCGACTCCTCCAAATAATTCATTTAGTCGTGTCATGTTTATTGCACATATATCACGGCAATATTCGTACCACTGAACGGCTGAAACTTCCGTAAGATCTGCAAAGGCCGCAGCTAATGTTACTGGAGACTTTATGATCCAATTTGCAACAATTATCATGATTTGTCTTAGTCTGAGTCGTGATCGAGCAAAGAAAGTACCAGTTCGAGCAGATATTTTCCTCCAACATATAAAACAAAGAAATACAATTTCATCACGGCAGTCTGCACATCGTGCTGCAGTCATTTGATTGCCACAGTCACAGATACAGAAACTTCTGAATAGTCCCATCTGTTGGCTCGCGAGACTATAATTTATGTACGAGCCAATCAGAAGCGTTCTGGGAATGTCAAGGTCACGGCACTAGGTTCAATACGTCCACTCTCTCCATTCCTGTTCAACTTTGTCGTCGACATAATTTTAAAGATAACACTTTACTCGTCTTGATTTCCAGGGGTTGAACTTCTACCGGGAGGTTCACTTGTTGACTTAGAATATGGCGATGACATAGTTCTATTTGGTGAAGACACTGACAAAATTCAGTCTTCTAATCACTAAGCAACAATGCATGCATGTTTGGAAGGTCCGACCGTTGTTGCTACCTTGACGTGGTGGTCGGGCTTGCCTATCGTGATGAAGCAACCGAGCTATACTGGCTGGAACAACCGTTCCTCAAGGTCCTACCATGTCAGACAGGTCGGTTGAAGAGCGGTAAGACTAAAAGCAACAAACCCAAGGTCCGAAGGCAAAGTCGTACTGCTGACTGTACAGAGGTGTGACAGCAGTAAGGTGTTTCCTTCAGACAACCAGCATGACAGAGATGCTGCCTTCCCACAAGGAGGGGTGGGGTTAGAAAAGGTCGACCCTAAAAATGCACACCTCGCCTTATCCCACGGATATCCGTCTCCGGCGGTAAGGTCTCAATAAGTACGGAGCTAACACAAAAATTACCCATAACAAGGTCGTGTGTGACCGACCTCAAGCAGTTGTCCCTTGGGCACTGCGGTCACGCTCTCAGGTCACTAAGACCACCTTTAATACAAATTCCTTTTCAGGTACCCCCAGAACAACCCTTCCACGGTGTGGGCAAACGGGAAGTGAAAACCGCCCTCATACCTCTAACAGCACTCAAGACCACTGTATTCATAATCAACCTTCCTCTTCAATTCCTATTATTCCTCCTACATTGACTTTCAACTTTAAATTTCCTCTCTCGGCTTCCACCTCAAGTGTCACCATAGCCAACGATTCTAGTGCGCAAAATACTGTCCCAGGTCTACTGAAACCTCGCTCCAAACTACACATTGGAGCCTTCAACGTACGAACCCTATGTCAAATCGGTCAGCAGGCTTCCTTGGCTAAAACCCTAGAGTCTCTTACCATTGACGTGTGCTGTGTCTCCGAAACACGCATACAGGATTCCAGTGTGGTCATTCACTTGACCTCACCTCGGCAAAACGGAGAGCCAACGAGGTACACCCTTCGTGTATCTGGTGACCGGATGGCAAGTTCTCGTGGACTGGCAGGTGTAGAGATAGCACTAAGCATGAGGGCCGAACAAGCACTGCTAGAGTGGATCCCCGTCAACAGTCGTCTATGTGCTGTTCGGCTGAACGGCTACGTAAGAACTCGGAAGGATAGGAACACACGTCGTTGCCTTTTTGTCGTTTCTGCCTACGCTCCCACTGACTGCAGCTCAGATGATGTGAAAGACGAATTTTACAGAAAGCTGTCCGAACTTCTTCAGAAAGCTAAACGCTCAGACATAGTACTCGTAGCAGGTGATCTTAATGCTCAGATAGGCAGTTTAAACCAAACAGAAAGGCATTTAGGTGGATATTTTAGTATTCCGACACAGCGAACAGATAATGGTGATCGTCTGCTGCAGCTATGCTCAGACAATCGTTTATTTTTAGCAAACACAAATTTTAAGCATAAGGAGAGACATCGTCTAACATGGCGACCCCCTACACCAAACCAACGATGGACTCAAATAGACCATATTGCCATCAGTCATCGTTGGAGAGGGTCGGTAGAAGATTGTCGCTCATTCTGGAGTACCTGCTTGGACTCCGACCATGCCCTAATACGGGCACGCATCTGCTTGCGCCTCACTGGACGCAAAAAAGCCACATTAAAAAGACCCATTAGAACTGATTTGAGTAACGAGAAAACCAAAAGTAGGTTCCAGGAACAACTGAGGTCACACTTAGGTAGTTGTGAAGACGAGGCTGACCCAGATGTTGCTTGGAAGGGCATACAATCAGCTGTGGAAACAGCAGTGACATCTATTAGTGACTTAAACCACAGAGTTGCAAGGAACCAGTGGATTTCTTCAAGGTCTGTCACACTGATGGATTCTCGCAAACTCGTCCCATCAGGTCCTGAACATGATGAAGAGCGAAAACAAATCAGATCTAGGTTAAGAAAAAGTCTAAAGAACGACCGTGAGCAGTGGTGGGTAACGAAAGCAAAAGAGATGGAAAAGGCGGCGACTATAGGGAACACAAGACAGCTTTACAGACTAATAAAAGAAACTGGAATTAGTAAGTCAAGTGTAAGTGAGATTATTTCGGAAAAAGATGATACTCTCATCTGCTCCCAGTCCAGACGTTTAGAACGATGGGCGGAACATTTTAGAGAACAGTTCAGCTGGCCTTCAGCTACTCTACAACTACCCTTCATTCCCAGACAGTGTGAATGGAACATTGAAATAGGTCCCCCTACTCTTGCTGAAGTTCAAAAGGCTATAGTTAATCTGAAACGAGGAAGGGCAGCTGGTCTAGATGGATTGGCTCCAGAGGTCTTTAACGATGGTGGTCCAATTTTAGCGATTAAGTTGACTAATATTTTAGCTAAGATCTGGGAGTTAGACTTTATCCCATCTGACTGGTCGCAATCACTTATCGTCCCAATATATAAGAAAGGGTCAAAATCATCCTGTGACAACCACAGAGGGATTAGTTTAACAAACATAGTATCTAAAATACTGGCCTCGATAATTATCAAACGCCTAACTAAGACTCGTGAACTACAAACTCGAGAGAACCAAGCTGGCTTTAGACCTGGTCGTGGCTGCATCGACCACATATTCACCGTTCGTCAGGTTCTAGAACACAGGCATACCTATCGGCGTCCGACGATGGTGGTATTTCTCGACTTAAAAGCAGCATTTGACTCCATAGACCGCGAGACTCTGTGGCAGTGTCTGTCATTGAAAGGCGTACCTCAGAAGTACATAAACCTTGTGAAGGCTCTTTACTCGAACACTACTAGTCGAATCAGGGCTTATGGCGAACTGTCATCTACTTTTGCAACCTCAAATGGTGTCCGTAAAGGCTGTCCACTTTCTCCATTTCTGTTTAACTTCATCATAGACCTATTGATGGTAATAACAATCTCGTCGACTGAATTCTCGGGTATTGATCTCCTTCCAGGAGGTCCACTTATCGACTTAGAATACGCAGATGACATAGTCCTGTTTGGTGAAGACGCTGACAAAATGCAGAGTATTCTGGCAGCACTAAGCAACAATGCCAGAATGTTTGGGATGCGCTTCTCTCCCTCTAAATGCAAGTTGTTGCTTTAGGACTGGTCTGGGTCAACACCTGAACTAAGGATAGGGAGTGAAGTAGTTGAACGCGTTGACAACTTCACTTATCTTGGAAGTCTGATCAGCCCTAATGGGTTGGTGTCTGACGAAATTTCAGCACGGATTCGAAAAGCTCGTTTGGCTTTTGCCAACTTACGTCACCTTTGGCGGAGGCGAGGTATCCGTCTATCATTAAAAGGACGAGTATACTGCGCGGCAGTTCGTTCTGTTTTACTTTACGGCAGCGAAACATGGCCCTTAAGATTAGAAGACACCCGTAAGTTACTAGTATTTGACCACAGATGCCCCTTCAAAGTGCAAAATGCTGCTTCAGGATTGGGTTAAACCGACACCTGAACTAATGATAGGGAGTGAAGTAGTTGAGCCTGTCGACCGCTTCACTTATCTGGGAAGTCACGTCAGCCATTGTGGTCTGGTGTGTGACGAAATCTAAGCACAGATACAGAAGGCTTGACTAGCTTTTGCCAACTTGCGTCATTTATGACGTAGGCGAGATATCCGTCTATCAACCAAAGGACGTGTTTACTGAGCAGTTCGTTCCGTCCTACTTTATGGCTGTGAAACATGGCCAGTAAGAATGGAGGATATCCGTAGGTTACTAGCATTTGATCAAAGGTGTCTCCGAAGGATCGCTCGTATATCCTGGGACCATCGAGTAAGTAGCACAGTTGTTAGGAAACGGGTACTATGTAAGGATGGCAAATCAATTGATGACGTAGTGAAGCTTGATCAGTTGAGATGGCTGGGATATGTGTTACGTATGCCCAACCACCGACTGCCTCGATGCGCGATGTTTTGTTGTATAGGAGTAGATTGGAAGAAAGCTAGGGGCGGCCAGACCAAAATATGGCACAAGTCCATGAAGTCACTGACAAGTAGACTGAGTCATATTGGTAGGTGTAGACTACCTGGTTAGGAACCACGAGACGATAGCAACCGATAGTTAGAGACCTTGAATGACATGGCTCAAAATCGTTTGCAATGGCGTAGGTGCATCCACTCTTTGTGTTCTCCCAAATTCTAATCTTCTGAATTCTTCATGTCCCTTTCTGTTAGCGGGACATAGACTAGATTAAAGCATGCTCAATGCATGATTGCTTTGGTGCACGCTGATTGGCTAATTCTTATCCAATCAGCACTAGTCGATAGTTGGAGAATACTCTGGAATCTTCTTATGTAGAAACTATAAATATACTGACGTTTTCCCTTTTGTGCTTCTGACTTGCTTCTGACTTCCATCTAACCTTGTTATTTGGAATATAATCTCTTCCTGTTCAACCGTGTTTTGATTTGGGGACTTGTCGAGTGAATCGGTGTCCGAGAATACTAAGCAACAGGAATAGCTGGGTTATAACCGGAAGAAAAGAGATTATAACACTTTCTTTTTTCTCTTTCCAAATTTATTTCACTGGATTATACTCTTTGAATAACATCTTCAAACCCTAATCTTTCCGATGACTGCTTATAATTTTACTACATCTAGGAATACGGGATTTGAATCGATCACTGCATCTCTGTGCTAATGTGGTGTGGCAACTAGAACTGATGTACGTACGTACGAAGTTCTACGTTGTTCCTGACTGACTGTACGCTTTAATAGTTGTAGTAAACTGTCGGTGTTGACTTTACGTTGTAGCAATCAGTTTGAGTTTGTAGTGTTAGGCTAATCTTAGTACAGGACAAAAGTTGAACTACACTATGGGGTTGAAGTCTTGGCAACACTGGAAGCTCACGAATCACTACTTATGAACATTCACTAGGGTTCGGGAAAAAATATACGAAAAGTAAGTTTTTTCCTTGAAGAGACTAAGGCTAAATTGTTGGGACTATTTCAGTTTTAACCATTGAGATTACTTCACGTGTAATTTCACATCTAATGCATTAAGGATTCAGCTTCAATTTATCTGTATCCTTTGCAAGAATACCTAGCATTCTGTGGTCATAAAAACGTTTAGATGACTAACAAGTGGTGTATTTCATATATCTGACAATCCTTACACTTATCTAACGGTATTTACAACCGTAATTTCTATCTTAAAGATATATTGGATTTTTATTTTTTCTTGCGATAAACGGTATTAATTTTCACATTATCGAAACGTTGGTTTCTATTGCTTCACAGGAAATGTTTGAGATGTACTAACCATGGCTAAAATTTCCAACCGTAAACTACCAAAAAATGTCCATTCATCTCTTGAGTGGAATTTTCAGAATAACGATCCAAACTCTTCCAGCGATTCATGTTGGTCTTGGTCGGATGTCTATAGATATCAAAGAAACAACAACGCTCAAGACAACCGTGTTAAAGTCGTAGTGTCTGTGGAACAAACTTTGTATGATGTCGCTGAACTGCTTGAAAGGAGACTAGGGATTTGTCTTTCTGGCTGCCAGTTTTATCTTCAAGATCGAATCAAGGTAAATCCCTTTGCAAGCTATTTTATGTTTTAGCTTCGTGGGGAATCGCCCCTGGTTGAACATTGTGTTGAAATATCCGGTTTAGTTCAGCTATTACTTGAGGTAAAAACAGCACATGCAGGCTATCCATTTCGACTCAATGTTGTCGATATTCAAATCCCAGAATCGGTTGATCATCATGGACCTAACTCTACCATACCAACCGAAAAAAGCAAACGTCCTGGTATCGCAAAAGGACCAGGACAACAGGTGAGATCTTAGTCTTAGTATTTATTGTTATTTATACCTTCATATTGTCATGTATACTCGTTCTGAGTTGTGTATCCTGATCTGTGCCAGGAAAGTCCTACTCACTGCCTTCTCGTTTCGGGGGTGTTGTCTACAAAAAGGAGAGAACGAAAAGCGAATGTCCGGCGCTCTAATCGGATTCCAGACCAACAGTGCACATGGACTTCAGTATCCTGAGGGAACAAATGGCGTATGAACCAATTGTTGGTCACCGTCTACGATGCTTCACTGCCTTGTGGATCAGACCTTCAGGTCGAAGGCTCGGGGAGTGGCCCCCTAAGAAAACCACCTGCTTCGGTCTGGGCACCCGGGCAGTATCACAGCCCTCACACATATCGAATGAGATTTGTGTGCTATTGGTATCTATTCATGATTCATCGTCTATCATTTGGATTTCCTCAAGTGGAGATATAAACTAAATAATCTACCTATAATCTGGATCAAAAAGTTCATTTTCGGTAGATGTCTCAAAATCTTCAACCTTTGACATTTATTTTAAGCGCATAAGTTCTGGTGCAATGGAGCACCAAAAAGTGTTCTGTGAGAATGAACCGATAACGTTTTGGATAAATAATGAAGGAAAAGATAGTACATTTAATAAAGAAATGAATGGAAGTAGCATTTAATGACAGTTCGGTTAAAGGTACGATCAAAAAAGACCTTTCAGTTAAGTAAGGTCATCTCATTTTTACGGATAATGTAATATTAAACTACAACAAGATAGTCCCCGACTTCCGTAATTAGTTGGATAGAAAGAGGAAAAGCGGACTGCCTGTCATCGACCGTACCACGACACTTCGACATTTTTGAGAATTAGTGACTTAATTCAGCTAGTATGCTATTTGCGTGATATGCAGTTAGGAAAATTCTAAAAAAATTTCTCTTCACTATGTTCCTTATCCAAAGTAGTCATACACAATTATCACAAGAAGTTGGTTTTCATCTGATTAAGCTATGAAATTTCCCACATCTTTCCATCGGCTTTTTTCAGATATCCAGTGTAAATTCGGTAAAAAACGAGGAATCAAGAAATGATAGTGCTCTTTCAAGTTCTAACAGACCAATAAGTCCAAAACCCGAATGTATATCCCCTCTCACTGTTGCCGCAGCTGTGGCAGCGGCAGCTGATATTGCATCAGGAGGGTCTGGCTTATTGGAATCACAGCCTTCTCTCAATGAAAATGGTATGGTCTCAGATGAATCCGTTATTCCAGAAGCATGCAATATTCTTGATATACACTCATCGCAAAATCCTTATTTAGGATCCCAGTTGGAACCTGGTGGAGTTCCTGGAGCTTACGACTTGGAAAGCTTATCAAGGTGGGTTCCTGATGGTCACTATCGACGTTTAATGGAAATGAATGATATTCCACGTGATCCTATTGAGTGGAATTCGACACAGGTAAGTGCATTTTTATCTTAAGTTGTTTGAATTCAACCTACCGAGTCTGGTTTCAACATTCAGGTTTTCAAGTTGACTTACTACCTGGCGTTTCAATTTTGTTGCAATATTTATGATCTTATTTTGTTTCAAGACAGGTTGATAGATCTACTTGTTGAATTAAGCGTTCATCATTCCCATATGGTTGTATTCTCCAATTAAAAGAAGTTTTATGAACGAAGAATATTTTCAATAATTTTTCATCAGGTTCTACAATTATAAATCCAAATTAATAATCCATAAAATTGGCCAGATTTAAGGCAGAGTACATCATTTGGAAATTGTAATATGTGAATTGAGAATTGTTGTTTGTTATATAGAATCAATTCAGATCGTTAATGTTGGGGCTGTTTAATATAAGGTGTTAACTTGAATCAGTTTATAAGCGAAATGAAATTGTGCGATAAATGATCAGAATAAATATGGTCAATATGGGGTGAGCGAGAAAATAATGGAATAAAAATCGGAAATTACGTAATATGTAGAATAATATGAATTAGGTCAGATATAGTAGATTTAGGGGTGGATATTGAATAAATTCCTCAAAAGGTTATCAAGTGTAAAGATAATAATAATAATAATAATAATAATAATAATAATAATAATAATAATAATAATAGCAACACTCATCGTAACCCCCTCTGTTTTGACGGATACTTTGATGATCCCGGATTTATGAGATTCACAATTGATTGATCACTGGGTGGTGGTCAATGTCATGTGTGTCAGGTCCGTCTTAGTACAGATCGAATCCTATCGATGTGGCCACCAGTCTAGGTGAATTGGCATTGCATGCACTATGTTAAGATAAGATGGTGGTTAGAGGTGGTCAGCAGGAAACTATGAACCTGTATCCATGAGATTCCAACCCGATAAGTGAACTACATGCTTCTTTGGACAGCATCAGAGCAACTCCCTGAGTATGTGGAGCATTTTTCTCTTCGTGACCAAAGTATGACAGCATCTCTCCCTAATTTCTCCTTTTCTGTTCAGCTTGGGTCTATTGGGTTTCACTGCTTCCGAGCACCACCAAGTTGTGTCTCCTCATTTCTTCAGCTATTTGATTGGTCCTCCCGGTCCCCCACATTGTCTGAACATTCAAAGTACCTATATTAATTGTTGCTTTGAGGGCATCGGCCTCGTGACCTGTGAAGAACCCCAGCTCTGACCATGAGGTGTCATTGTAGGAAGCAATTTCCTACAGATTCAACTCTAAGCTAATCTCTAGACTGTCGAGTACAGAGTCTTGGTTTAGCCAAAGTCAGAACAAGCAAGCTATTTGGCTAGATAAACTTTATCTGTTTCTAAAACATAAATTAACATCGTTAGCGTACAAACAAACAGTACGGTCTATTAATACAGGGAAAAACAGAGACAAATAACATACCGAACAGTAGCCAGAGAATAGGAAAAATAAGTCAACAAGCCAATATTGTTTTACAATGAACATTAAACTGTGATTGGTTAATAAAGAGATACAGTCGTACATTGTCAAAAGGAGTTGATGTGGTGGTAGGCGTTTCCCTTATTATTGGTGGGTTCGTCTATCAATCACATTTTACAGTCGTAATTCTTCTAAATGACGATCCTTGAACTCGGAGGACAGAGTTTAAATGGTATAAATGGTTCTTTCTGTTTAGCGTTATTTAGCAAGGTAGTTTTCTACGGGATGGGGCTGTTGATCGTATGCCCAGCCGTCCTCCTTTACCAGGACTTGGGACCGGGCAGTAGCCCCAAAAGAGCTACTGGCTGAGTTTTTATTCTAATACATTATGGTATTATTGACAGATGTTGGTGTACTTACCACTTCTTTAGGTCTCTTTACGATTTTGAGTGACCAGAAAATTGATTAGACCTTCATCACATAGTCGTTGCATGTCACATCTGAAGTATCAATTGACTTCAAACTACAAAAGTAATCATTCATTCATTATCAACGTAGGGCCTGGCACAGATGTGAGTTGTTACAAGTTACTATCATATTAGTACGACTAAATGAATGGCAGAAGAGACCGAAATAATGTTTTAGCAATGACATGGAGAAAGACTAAAAATTGAGAATATAGCTCAAAAAGACAGTGGAATGGTGTGTATCAAGGGATATTAGGATTCAAGATCAAGAGGAAGACAGATGCATATGAACCATTATGAACTATTCCGAGCTGTATCACCATAAATATCCGGTCGCAGATCGTAGTTGTCATGCAGACTACCTGGTTGAGGTCCTCGTGGTAACTACAATTGGTGGCTGGAGACTTTGTATGATATTGGCTCGAAAAATTTCGCAATGGCACAGGCTGTTCATTCGTAGTTGTATTCCTGTAGGACCTAACTCCTGAAATCTTATATTTTTTCTACATGTAACATTTTCTATTATTGTCGATATTGTTACTACTTCTACTACTCTGGGATTTGTCTTGAAACAATTTTGTCTCACTGTGCTAATGTGGCGTGGTAACTTGAACCGATGCACGTGTGTCAGGTCCTACATTGCATATAGTTAAAAATGATCATTGTTTTTTTAATCTGATTGAGTTGTTTAGTCATGCATTATAGTTTTTCTCCACCTGGAGTTTGTCTTTTATTGATATGCATATGTTGACAAAGAAACGTCTAATAAGTTTTTTTTTAAATTTAGGTTATTATGTGGATAAATTGGGCTTGCAAACAATTTAGGATTGAAGGCCTAAAAGGCGAAAAGTTGTTCAACATGCCTGGGTCTAGCATGTTTGTTCTAACACCAGATGATTGGCGACGTTTAGTTCCCAATGCCAACGTTAACTTCTTAACTCACTTAGAGCTACTTAAACGGTGTCGAAATGTTTGTATGTTTTTATAATTTTGTTCTGTTTTACCGATTTTAAGATTTATTGTACAGTTTATGTATGTATCTAGCATTAGAATGGAAAATGACTTAGCTATGATTTACATTTCTTTTTTCTATACATTCATTATTTAACTAACATTTTATGTTTCTATTCGGGTTAAGTAGTCACTTGTAATCATCGTCGTGGGACATGGCACAGGTATGTGTCCGTTCAACTGTTCAAATCACACCGGGAAATGAAATTAACATGATGAATTACAAAGTATGAAAATATATTAAAACCAGGGAAAGGTAGAAAATAGATCCATTCTGGATATTGTGACCACTTCTGAGCCTTGTCACAGAAGATCATTAACGATTTGTCACAACTAGGTAGTCTTCAACCGACACAATTCAGATCAAAACCCAGTGATTTCATGTCCTGACTTGGCCGCCCGTAGTTTCCCTCCAATCCTCCCCACTCCAATCATCATTACACGTCAAGATAGATGGTTGTTGGGTTCATGGTCTCACTAACCGTCTCCCCATTTTTTCACCGTTTGCTACTCTTAACCTCAAGATCTCTCACTTGGTTGTTACACGATATGCTTGCAATGCTGCGAAAACATCTATTATCTAAAACACGCAGCTTACGCATATCTTCTATTTATATGGAATATTTCTCACAGCAATAAGATGATACAAAGCTTATTGTCTTTCAGTACATTCATCCTTTGATATACAAACGGATATCTTACCTACCTCACTTGTGATGGAAGTTGTGCCGATATTTCTGCAGACACTAATCCTCCAGGGCTGATAAGACTTCCAAGTGAAGTGATCGACACATTTCGCGTTAATGTATCTAGTTATAAATATTTCAAAATGATTATTGTTAAACTTATACTGTTATTTTTTATTCTTATTTATGTTATAGAGATAAGTTTGTTTCGTATTTCTTATGATGTGTAACACGGATTTCATAGTGACATACACCTCTTTGTTTTAGGTGTTCCTTATTGTCCACAACCCCCACAACAGAGCGCAACCCAATCCCAAAAATTGTACAGACAAATGTCACGATCCCGCTTTCGTAGCTCTAGAAATTTGACGGAAACGAATTCTAGTAGGAGTTTTGGTGGAAGTAAGTATTCACATTATGGAACTTGTTTCAATATCCTGTTGCATTCATTATGAGTTTTTCCACTTTAGTAATATGAAATAATCGCGTCTTGGTAAATGGTTCTGTCACCATTTAATAATATCCCGTTCACCATGGTAATATAGAATATTAGAAGGGATATTAGTGAAAATGACTGGCTTATTCACATATAGTTTGAATTAGTCTAGTGGCATAATATTGTACTCATCATCTACACCGCAAATTCTCATTTCCCTGGTAGCGTTCTGGACAATTTTTTGTGTTGTGATTAAATGAATAAATCGAAATAGTTCATCGAAAGTACAATTCTGGAATGCTGGAATGATATCCTAAATTACTGGAGAAGGAATGCAACAGGAGTGAGCCTTCACAGATCTCACAGATTGTTTCGTCGTTAGAACTATGGCCCTATTAAACTTTACGGAAGACCCAACTAACAGCAGATTATTAAAAGCATTCTGGACGTCCACTTTAGTCTCACAACCACTTCCAGTATTTTTGAGTTATCTCTTTTACCCTTTATTTTAAAAAATAACAAGAAATACAGCTTAACATTACCAATGAGAGTCATAAATGGAAACCTGCTGCAAATATTTGTTGCTACCTTGACGTGGCGGTCGGGCTTGTCTATCGTAATAAACTAACCGAGCTATACTGGCTGGAACAATCGTTCCTCAATGTCCTACCATGCCAGACAGGTCGCTTGAAGAACTGTAAAACTAAAAGCAGCATACTCAAGGTTCGAAGGCGAAGTCGTACTGTTGACTGTACAGAGGTGTGACGGCAGTAAGGTGTCTTCTTCAGACGAGCAGCATAATTTCGATGCTACCTTCCCACAAGAAGGAGTGGAGTTAGAAAAGGTCGACCCTGAAAATACACACCTCGCCTTATTCTTCTCCGGTGGTAAGGTTTCAACATGTACGGAGCTAACACAATAATTACTCACAAAAAGTCGTGTGTGACCGACTTCAAGCAGTTGTCCCTTGGGCACTGTGGTTACGCTCTCAGGTCACTAAGATCACCTCTAATCTAATTTCCTCTTCAGGTACCTCCAGAACAACCCTCCCACGGTGTGGGCAACCGGGAAGTGATAACCGCCCTCATACCTCTAACAGCACTCAAGACCACTGTATTCATAATCAACCTCCGTCTTCACTTCCTATCATTCCTCTTACATCGACTTTCAACTCTAAAATTCCTCTTTTGACTTCCTCAAGTGTCACCATAGTCAACGATTCTAGTGCTCGAATCACTGCCCGATTCTATTGAAACGTCGCTCCAAACTACATATTGGAGCCTTCCACGTACACACCCTATGTCAAATCGACCAGCAGGCCTCCTTGGCTAAAGCCGTAGAATTTCGTACCATTGATTTCTGCTGTCTCCGAAACACTCATACAAGATCGTAGTGTGCTCATTCACTAAACCTCACCTCGTCAAAACGAAAAGCTGACGAGATATACCCTCCGTGTATCTGGCAACCCAATGGCTAGTTCTCATGAAATGGCAAGTGTAGCCACAGCATTAAGTACGAGAGAAGAACAAGCACTATCAGAGTGGATCCCCGTTAACAGTCATCTATGTGCTGTTCGGTCAAACGGCTCTGTAAAACTCGGAAGGGTAGGGACACGCGTTGTTGCCTTTTCGTCGTTTCTGCCCACGCTCTCACTGACTGCAGCCCGGATGAAGTGAAAAATGACTTTCACAGAAAGCTTCCTGAACTTCATCAGAAAGCTAAACGCTCAGACATAGTACTCGTAGTAGGTGACTTTAATGCCCAAGTAGTTAGCTCAAACCAAACAGAAAGACATTTTGGTGGATATTACAGTATCCCAGCTCAGAGAACAGATAACGGTAATCGTCTGCTGCAAATGTGCTCAGACAATCGTTTATTTTTAGCAAACACAAACTTTAAGCATAAGGAGAGACATCGTCTTACATGGCGACCACCTGCACCAAACCAACGATAAACTCAAGTAGACCATATTGCCATCAGTCATCGTTGGAGAGGCTTGATAGAAGACTGTCGCTCATTCCGGAGTACATGTTTCGACTTCGGTCATGCGTTAATGCGCACCTCACTGGACGCAAAAATCGCATTAAGAAGACTCATTAGAGTTGAACTCAGTGACGAGAAAGCCAAAAGTAGATTCCAGGAACATCTAAGGTCACACTTAGGTAGTTCTGAAAATGAGGCTGACCCAGGTGTTGCTTGGGAAGATATACAAGCAGCTGTGGAAACAGCAACGACATCTATTAGTGATTTTGACCAAAGAATCACGAAAATTCAGTGGATTTCTACTAAGTCTATTGCACTGATAGATTCTCGTAAACTTACCCTATCAGGCTCTGAACACGATGAAAAGCGAAAACAAGTCAGATCTAGATCAACCAAAAGTTTGAGGAACGACCGTAAGCAGTGGTTAGGCAACGAAAGCAGAAGAGATGGAAAAGGCGGCGGCTGTAGGTAACACCAGACAACTTTTCAGACTAATAAAAGAAATTGGAATTAAGAAGTGAAGTGTAAGCGATCTCAGAAAAAGACATTCTTATCTGCTCTCAACCCAGACGTTTAGAACGATGGGCGGAACACTTTAAGGAACAGTTTAGCTGGCCTTCAGCTACTCTACAACTACCCACCATTCCCAGAAAGCCTGAGTGGAATATTGAAGTAGGTCCCCCGACTCTAGCTGAAGTCCAAAAGGGTACAGCTAATGTGAAACAAGGAAGAGCAGCTGGTCCAGATGGGTTGGCTCCAGAGGTATTTAAGGATGTTGATTCAGTTTTAGCGATTACCTAAAATCTGGGAGTTGGACGTAATCCCATCTGACTGGTCGCAATCACTAATTGTCCCTATGATAACCATAGAGGGATTAGTTTAATTATTATAGCATCTAAAATAATGGCCTCAATAATTATCGAACTCCTAACCAAGACTCGTGAACTGCAATCACGAGAAAATCAGGCTGGCTTTAGACCTGGTCGTGGTTGCATCGACCATATATTCACCATTCATCAGGTTCTAGAACACAGACATACTTATCGGCGTCCAAGAATGGCGGTCTTTCTTGACTTGAAAGCAGCATTTGACTCCGTAGATCGCGAGATTCTGTGGCATTGTCTGTCATTGAAAGGCGTACCACAAAAGTACATCAACCTTGTGAAAACTCTTTACTCGATCACTACTAGTCGAGTCAGAGCTTATGGCGAACTGTCATCTGCTTTTGCAACCTAACCTCAAATGGTGTCCGTCAAGGCTGTCCACTTTCTCCATTTTTGTTTAACTTCATCATAGACCTACTGCTGGAAATAACGTTCTCGTCGACAGAATTTCCGGGCATCGATCTCCCACCAGGAGGTCCACTTATCGACTTAGAATACTCAGATGATATAGTCCTGTTTGGTGAAGACTCTGACAAAATGCATAGTGTTTTGATGGCACTGAGCAACAATGCCAGAGTGTTCGTGTTGCATTTCTGTAGCTATAAATACAAGTTGTTATTTCAGAACTAGATTGCGTCAACACCTGAACTAAGGATAGGGAGTGAAGTAGTCGAACGCGTTGACAACTTCACTTATCTCGGAAATCTAATCAACCCTAATGGGTTAGTGTCTGGCGAAATCTCAGCACGGATTCAGAAAACTCGTTTGGTTTTTGCCAACTTACGTCACTGTCTATCAATTAAGCGAGGAGTATACTGCGCTGCAGTTCGTTCTTTTCTACTTTACGGCAGCGAAACATGGCCATTAAGAGTAGAAATTACTCGGAAGTTACTAGTATTTGAATATAGATGTCTCAAAAATATTCCCAGCATCTGCTGGGATCACCTGGTGAGTAATAGTGAGGTTAGACTCAGGATGTTAAGGAATGATGGTAAATCACTTGATGAGATTGTGAATTTTCACCGAGTAAGATGGTTGGGCCACGTGTTGCGTATGCGTGAACACCGATTATCACAACGCGTAATGCTGAATGTTGTTGGAAACAGCTGGAAGAATGTTATGGGCGGCCAAACCAAAACGTGGCATCAGTGCTTGAAGTCACTAACTTCTGGTCTAAGCGATGTTGGATGCAGACTACTTGGTTGGGGTCCGCGTTACTATTGTAACCAATGGTTGGATACTTGATGACATGGTTTAGAATCGATCACAATGCCATCGGTGTATGCACTCTTTGTCTTATCTTAGACTATGAGATTAAAATCGCTTCATATCTTTCTTGCCGCCAACTAATTCTTTCTGCCTGTACTATATCCTTGTATTCAATCTTTTATATATTACCACCATTGAATTAACTACTTCTATGAATCCGGTGTTCATCTTGCTGTGCTAATGGGGTATGATAACTTGAACCGACGCATATATGTGCCTGGTCCTACGGCGTAGCTAACTGACAATTCTATATAATCTATAACTATTAGTTGCAGTAGGGCTCCGTTAATCAGTAATCAATATCATGAAGTTATATTTGAATGAAATTCGAGATCTAGATTATGTAACTAATTTTAGTTCTTGCCAATGATTTCTGCAGTTATTTTTCTACAAAGTTTGGTTAATACTTTTTCGAACTTAACGCCATGATATATAAGTTAACATGATTTCACAGCACTTCGTTCATGTGTTCTGATCAGAAAACATTCAGGATCGTTGTATAAAGTTTCAGACTAAGTTTTGACATCCTTCAGATTGCGTAGTTGATATTTTACATAATGATTCGATTTGTACTCAACTTTTGTTATTCTGACCTAGTGAAATTCGTAGGAAAAAGACATACCCATTGTCGTTGCTTTCTTTTCATGGAGACTTTATGTAAGGAAGGATCGAAATTAGATCAAAGAGTATTCTGACTGAAGGTAAAGGGATTTTATAAACTTTCAAACTAATAAGGTGTGTTATGACAAGATGTTTTCAGTCAAGCTTAAACCTCATGGTTGCTTTTTTAGAAACAGGAATATTTATAACAATTATTATAAATACGTGACTTCATTACGTTGGATTTTAGTCTGTCAGCCTCACAATGTATGGTGTCATCTAGACTAGCTTAGCTGCTACATAGCATTTACTCGAAATTTTAAATCTTTATTTGTAATTACACAGAACAGCAGTAATGTGTATCTAACAGTGGTTTAGTAGTTAAAACGTTCAAATCTCAGCAACTAAGTCCAAAGGTTGTACTCCATTCCACCTACTTCGGTTCTGACAACCGGGTAGTATCATTATCCCTCACACTTAAAGTGGCTAATACAAGTACCTGGTAAATGAGTTGGTTTATAGTTAGTTATTTTACTCATCACCCTGTTTGTGGAAAGTTGATCACCATTATCACATTTTCTTCAGGTTTTCAAGCTTCTAATATATAGCTCATTTATTGGTATTAAAATTTTGGGTTTACGTCAAAAGTGTGGTTTATTCGATACTTACTTTTCTGTATCAGTTTATTTAATTGTTTGTTGATCACAAAGGTATTGTATTTGCGCCGTCGTACTCGGGAGCCTTAAATTCCTACGATATGAATAATTCTAACCCACGAATGATGTGTTCAAAACCAGTGTTTTTGTCATGTAATGATTCAAATGGTCACGTTCCAACATCCAGTACAGTTACATTAATGAACGAAACGACTGATAATCAGAACTCATCCAATTACACAAATAACGGGGTATGCGAGTCGTCTTCAGGTGGTGGTCAGTTAATTCATGTAAGTTTTTTAATGTCCTTATTTTTGTGGACTTTTGGGTAATTATCTCAATCTTGTTATTCAAAACCTATGACTTGTTATTTTTATCATATATTAGCAAAAATAAATAGATGTGTTTTACGTATTGATTAGAAAGCAATTATATTCAAATAGTATATGACAGCCAGTAACATCATAATGGTCGAAAATGCTGGTCAAGCAATCTTTCCTTACAACTTTTTTGAAACACTGTTAGTCTTTAAACTACACATGAACGTGTATATATCTTTGTTTTTCAGCAAATGGCAAATGAAAAGTTCAATAACAGACTAATTATCAATCTATTAGTCCAGTTCCACTTATCATGAAACTTTCATTTAAAAATATACTAGCGTTTGTTAAGTAGCAGATCTTAATTGAACATCATAACTATATATAGTAATTCCTAAATAAATTAAAGAGTTCCTTTAAATCTACACTTTCGATAGTTTAGCTATGATTTTTAGGCAGTGACTTTGCTTCTAACCATCAAACGATGGTTTAGTATAATGAATATAATATCAACTGTGATCACCATATTTCTTTGTCTTTGTATATGAAAAATAGGGCTAATAAGGTCGAATGCGATAAGTTATTGTCCAGTATTGTGGGAGAGGTCAAAGTATTTTTTAAATTTTGTAATCTCTATATTCCTTTTACGGTTAGTCTAAACTTAAACTTTACGGCGCTTGTGTTATTAGTTTTATTAAGGCTACTGCGAAGGTACAGGATATCATTTTTAGACGAGTTCATCATAGTTGATATAACACTCATGAATTCCACTCTGTGTAATGTTTCAAAATTCAGTTATATTCCATGAGTATCATTAATCAAATAGTTTCTTTTTTTAACTTTACAGGGTGCATTTTTATTAGCTCAAAATGGTAACACTCTTCAACAAGGAATTTCTAATTCTCAATCATCTGCAGCTGGTCAAGTTCAACTGTGGCAGTTTTTACTTGAACTACTTACAGATTGGAGATACCGTGAAGCTATACACTGGATTAGCGATGACGGTGAATTTAAATTAAGTAATCCTGAACAAGTAGCTGCAATGTGGGGTCATCGAAAAAACAAACCTGCTATGAATTACGAGAAGTTATCTCGAGCATTACGATATTATTATGATGGTGATATGATTTCAAAGGTATCGATTAAAATAGTAACGCTTTTTCAAGTGATTTAAACTTTTATGCCTGAAATTTATCTTGATCCCCAGATAAAATAATGTTTTTAAATGTGCGTTCTTAGTTTTAACTGACTGTTCAATTATTATATAAATCTATCTCCCAAGCTGTAGTAAATAAAACATGATTAAATGTTTAAACTATCAGTTCACGAAGACGCATATTTAGTTACCATTTGTCTTCATATTTTTACTTCAATTGGTTAATTGGGTTCGTATGAATTACGTTTTTATCATAATTTTGAAACTTCTTGTTTTTGTATTTAATTCGATGGGCCGTAAGTCGTATTTTGTTTGCCTTTGTAGATATTAGGACTTTCCATTTGGAAAGTTTTGTGTAATTTGGAAGTGACGACTAGTTTTAGTGACTTAAACTAGTAGTGCATCAAGTGTTATCATTTTTTTTTCTTGGATTTTTCTGTATTGTTATCAGATTTTCTCATATTACATTTGATACATCAAAATGATCGACAATTTTAAAAATCCCGTAATTATGTGTACTAGAAAAATTTAGGAGTGCTAAAAGTAAATGGATAGCTGAATCAGTGCTATGGTTTTGTATGATCCTGGAGTAATAATACAAACGTAGCATTCATATACCTCGGTCTTCCTATGATGTATTCGTGGTTCGTTACAACTAGTCGACAACCAAATTGTCCATTAAAATTTACGTACATCAACTGGCCCTTTACATGAATAAACCCCTATGCTCTTTGGATGTAATATTCTTCATTTGTTTTATGTAGAAATAAAGTAGTTGTCAGTTTTGTATAGAAAGAAATACATATTCTGTACACTTTGTATCCTACATCGCAATCTTGATTATATTGAAACAATAGACATTTATTTGGACGATATGTCTAAATATTGGAAACTTTGAATCACTTTATGTTCAAGCGGTTTCGGGCGTTCATCTATTGACGATACTACAATATCATTGAAAATTTTGTGTACTGATAACAAAGTAACTGTATAAACACATTTTAGAGTCTGGCTTCTGTCTGTTATTGCAACGATGTGAATCATATTTCTGCTATATTTGTACTTAACCACCCTATTTTTTGTTTTACCCTTTAGGTTCATGGAAAACGTTTCGTTTACAAATTCATTTGTGATTTAAAGACTCTACTTGGTTTTTCAGCTGGCGAGCTATATATGTTAGTGAAAAATTGTGCTGAAAGGCATTCACATCGAGGGAAAAAGCGGCGTTTGACTACAGGATCTACATACTCTCCAGTAAACAGTCATACACTGTCTACATTTCCTATAGACGATAGGACTGTGTTCCCAATACCCGCAGAACATCCTCGTCCAATTAATTTTTTAAACCGGTCTGTACAGCGCAATGTGACCCCTGGTTACTGCCTTGATATCGTCACACCTTCAGATCCCCTTTCTTATAGTGTTCCGTTCTCACCTACATACCGTATCAGACAACCGGTCAAATCGGAAAATGGAGTAAACAGTAATACATTAGAACAACACTCTAGTAGTTCATTAGTCCGTCAGTCATTCCAGCGAAAAAGATTTTTGGGTTTACAGCCAACTACCGTAAATACTGAAAATATTGTTTTTGAAGATGACTCTATTCATAATAATGCTTCTGACTCTGAGCATCATGAAAACGATCGATCACGTGCCCCCACCAGTCCTTGGAGGCTGCGACGACGCTGGTGGGCTCGCAATCCTTTGTCTGGTGTTTCACCACTTGGCTCTCCTCCTTACTCATCTCCTTCATACACTGAACGTTTATCTTCTGATTCTGCTCGACAACGAGACGATGTTTCTGATCGCTTCAACGGTTCATGCTCATCGATAGCTGGTGCAAGTTCTCAGTTCAGCCATTCACAGTTCACAGTTGACGAGGACTGGGTTGCCGCCGCAGCGTTAACGGAGGATATGGCAAATGAATCGTCCATGAATTCCTCCACTTCGATCAATAGTTCATTTCGATCTAATGGAATTTCTCTTCCCCAACCTCCCACTCCCAATACTACTGTAACTGGCTTTGATGAAGGAGAGATAGCTTCCGCCGCTGCTTCATTATTCAGTCAATCAAGCCAATCAGAACCTCCTTTAGTAGTGGATCAAACGAATACCGTTCCCAAAAAGAGAAAGCTATCTTCTAACTTATCTGATTATCGCTGTGAAACGAAAGAGGTTAGAGATGATTCTCTTATCGAAGATACCGTATACGGTTCTCGGTTAAGTCATTTAGGTAGTACCAAGTATATCTCTAATAACCGGTCATCTATGCGTAATTATGGTCCTGTTTTATTATCTAGTTATAGTCAAGGCATAGATATCGATGCCTTTTTAGCTCATTGATGTATGATATCTATATGGAGCTTTTACAGCTACTTAGTGGTAGTTTATATCAAAACTTGTACATTTATTCATCAATAGGTGCCTTCCGATTTGTTTTGCGGAAGAATTCAGATGAAATTTCATTCATTATTTTCCTTCAATGGCCTTTCTATTTTCTGTTATGTTTTTTTCTCTGAAAATTTATTTGCTCAGGATTCTGCTTACTTGTATGAAATTATATATATACTATTATGTTTTTGCATATGTACAGTATATTATAATCCTCTCAAATCCGTGAAACATTTCCCAGTCAAAGTATTAATATCCTTTCTTTGCATCTCCGTAACGACCGATTTTAGTTGCTCATGTACAAAAGCATGTGCCACTGATGCAACAAATGATTCTGGTGTTAATTAACAACTTCAAATATATACATAGCATTTCTGTTATATTAGAAATTGTATATGTTTTTTATATGTTTGATTTAATATCTCTGATTCAAATTGTGTCAACATTCCATTTACATTAATCACTAAAATTCATTCATATGTGAGGAAAAAAGCAAAAGGAATGCTTATTGTGAGTAATCATAGATTTTCTAATATTTCACTACTATATTATTGTTTAGTTTTATTGGGAAGTTTTCACAACATTTGCATTTCAAATAACATTAAAATACATAGATAGTGTTTTATAAATTTCTCCTACATTGACCTCCTTATCCGTACATATATTCTTGTTGTTAATTTCTGTAAATTTTATTGGCTAATAAATGCTACTCACATTTCCTAAATAGAACTATTTTGTACATTCTTTTTTTAGTACGGAGAAGATTCATTTTTATATATTTATACAAGCGTGCTTTATTTAACATTATTATTATTACTATTATTATTGTTCAATTCAATTTACTAACTTGTTTGTTTTGTTTTGTTTTGTTTTGTGCATTAGTAAAACTAATTTGCATTTAGGTTATGATGTAATTATCCTTTTATCCATACACTCTAGATTTTATTTATATTAAGAACATTAAACGCGTAATCAAGTGTACTAATAGCACCCGTCGGTTAGAATTTCTACGGAGTTTTGATTATAATACGTAGTTATTGTTTTGCTTGTAGACGGTTATACTGTACTGTACCGTGTTGTACTGTTTTAAATAGCCAAATGAATAACATTTATCACATCTTACTAGATTCTTGCGTATATATATATATATATATATATATATATATATATATATATATATATATATATATATGATTAATGAACATGAAATCACTACTAAAAATGTAAAGGAAGTAGTTTTCTATGATATATAAATGAGTTGGTCTCTAATATTTAACATCATATTCAAAGACTACACTTCAAATCATTTACTTGGATAATAGGTAACTAAGTTCTAAGCTTATTTCTAAACAGGCAATTAAAATATTTATAGGACGATTATAAGGAGAGTTTTAGAATTCGAATTCCAACTGTTTGTGTGGTGGTGTGGATCTCGTTAAACCCATCTGATTTGGACCGGTGGGTTGTATCCTTGCCTTTCATTATATGTTTGGCTCAAAGTTGAGTGCACTAGACTTGAACTTATTTTTTGAATTTCATTATTTGTCCCAACGAGTGTCGGGGAGTTAGAAATTGAATGCATTCTGTTTAAGCATATACTAGAGTTATAGTTGGTTATGTCCCACTAGACTCAAAACGGGAACATGAAGTCTGTTAAAAATCACTCACAGTAATAATGCTTTTTGAGAATTAAGTCTATTTTAAAATTTTCGATTAGTTACACTGCTTCACACAAGTTTCTTAAATATTTCGTTATCTTTGGTTTTACACAACCATCTAAAATTGTAAGCAAAACCTTAAATGTGTATTTGTAGGTTGAAGAATCAATTATTAACATGACTTTTCCCATTATTGAAGCCTGACGTAAAAAAAGCCAAACCTTGTTATTTCAAAATTAAAAAAGTTTCTGTTGTATCGTCAAACAAATAGAAAATGAGAATAAATAATAGATCAGAATATTGTAACAACTAACTTTTCATTCAATTTATTCACTAACTGATCCTATGAAGGATGTAAAGGACAAGAAACATTTGAAAATAAACCACATTGTTTTCTTGTTATTTACTATTGATATTCATCACAATTAATTAACATGATATACTATTTTTAATTCATGAAGTACATAAGAGGGGATAAGATGCATGTCCGTGAATTTGTAGCACACCTATTCCTCAATGTCCTCAACTTTTACATTCATCTTGAGAGTTCATTCTACTTATACGAGCATAATTTTCAGTGGGTATTTCATTTTAAGTTTCAACTTTTATTTAAATTACATTTTCCGTCATTTTGTGATTCGCTACAGTGTCGTGTTCGTATGCGACATGTGTATATGGTTTTAGATGGTTGACGTGAAATCCGTAGTGAAAGATATATATATTTAGCGCCAACCCACTCGATACTGTAATTTTATTAAACATTGAAAAAGATGGTCATTTTCACAACACAAGAGTAGTATCTAATCTTAAGTAGTTCATAAGATATTCAAGCAGGAAGTTCAAACCATAGATGAGATTCTTAGGACATGTAGCCAATAGATAGTCTACGTGTCTAATGTAAAATTCAGAGGATAAAACGTCAATTAATGTTTATTTAGAAATAATATACTAAGTAGGGTTCTCAAGTTGTCTATTAGGGAGTGGATAAAAACTTCAACACATTTTATGAACTAAGGCAAAGTCGAGCTTTATTTAGCAATCCTGTCATGATTTAATCAATACAAGGATTATAACCCAACTCTTGAACTACAAATACAAATATGGAAAGCAAAAAATGATGTTAAAAGTACAATAAATTTTCCTTAAAGTTCGAAATGGGGATCGCGAACCTATTACTTTTGAATATCAGGTATTTAGAAGTCGATCGCACCATCAAGAGAACAGTTAATAAATAACCTGGGACCTCAGAAATAGGATGAGACTAAAATTATGCAGTGTTACCAATTAAAACGATGGACGAACTATTTGTGTAAATAATTACACAAATAATAATTGAAGATGAATAAAGTTTTAAAGAATTGGTTACACGAAGAGAAAAGCAATGATATGACTGAGTAAAGTAGTCAGTAAAAGAATATGAAAATACGTCAGTGTAGGAGGGTAGTCAGATGGAATATACGAGTCAACAATAGATTTTATTTTTACGTCATTGGAAAAAATGCTTGGATATACTCAGCATACATGCTAAAATTAAGTAATACGTTATAAAACAGGATGAAGTTGGAAGATGAATTCTAACATCTGATAAATAATGCCAGTACATACTTAATATATATATATATGTTTCTCGATTTTCAACAGTTCTCTATCTTCGCATTTTGTACTGGCTATACAAAACGTGTTCATATGTTTAGATACAACAAAAATTAGGGATCAGTTATTTTAGAAATTAATTTGTAATAAACGAAACTTACAAGGCATCTACAGATACAGATTTGTTAAAAATGTGTCAAGTGGCATGCAAACGACACTTCATGTATATTTTGGGTTTAGAAATTTCCCTCTGATAAATAAGCGTAACAATGCAGAATTAAGTAAGAAACAAAAAATTTAGTAAGCTATTTCAGAAAGAAGAAAGGACGGAAAAACAACGGAAAGTAGTTTGTAATAAAATGATAAGAATGTAATAATAATAATAGTTACAAATCAATTTCCAAAAACTATGAAAGAGGTAAGGAGATTTGTTATAAGTAAATACTGTCTAGACATTAATGATTCCAGAAAAGAAGCCTATGCTATTGGTTAAGCTGACGCACAGTAACTTCACAGATGGTATCACTTGTTCAACAGTATTCTCTTCAAATTGACTTTGTATTGTTTACTTGAATCTTTCCATTGATGTTTGGGACCACAATTGATCAGTCTGTTATTGGCACATATGCATACTTTGAGTATTGCCTTAATTCAGAAGCATTTTAAGCACAGACGGATTTATTTATTTATTTAAACACATAAATATTCGTACTAAGGGGCACCGAATATGTATGCGCTACACAAGTCTCTTGATTTGTGTTTGGGCTGTGATACTGCCCGGGTGCCCGAACCGAAGCAGGTGATTTTCTTAGTGGCCACGTGGAGCTGACTTTCTCCACCCTCGGCCGTACCAGAATATTTGGGGGGCCGAGGTGACTTTATGGTGGACGAGGAATCCAGGATACACGTTTCGTCCTATTTGGGACTCGTACACTGAATGCGATTGCATCCGAGTTGATGTTCACTCCGGGACTCGAACCCAGTAGCGTCCACTTTAAACGCCATCACGTTATCCACTTAGCTACTGAGTCTTCTCGATATACATAATTCAGTAAAGTGAATTCGATTAATAGTTAACTGGTGAGGCATCTTTTTGGGCTCAAGGAAAGTTGGACTGAAAATATGTTATCAAGAGGTGCATTAAAAGGTAAAGATAAAAGTTTGTTTGGTTTATGAATAACTTTAATGATATCATTTTATCTAGTGTATGCTATTTTGTTATAAGCTGTTTTCAATATACCTATTATGAATAGTGTGGCTTGGTACATTCATAAGTCTCTAAGCGGATCCTATTTGGATGTTAGTACCCATGTACGAACAAAATAAGTTTATTTATATCAAGTGTATAAGATTTTGAATATCTAATGGTATTACTTACTAAGTGCAGCGATCCATTTGGTGACGTAATCATCTTCAAACTTCATTCTTTATATTACCATATACTACTTACTAACATTAAGTACTTTGAACTAAATTTATTCATTTTAACCCGAATAATATTTGTTACCAGAACTCACAATACCTACCTGATTATATTGACGGATTGCTTCATTTCTTTAATTTATAGATATCTTTGTCATCCAACTGATAACTCAGTATTATTTTTCGAAAGTGATAATTATCCCTATATTTTAGTAGACACTTATAAATAAAGTCAGTAATTGATATGATACAATTTACCGACAGACCTAAACTTTGTCAAGAAATCATGGAACTGTTTATCAGTGCTGCATTGATTCAGCAATTTGTTTTAATTTTAAAATCACTAATATGTTTCACGAAAAAAATGATAGGATTGGTAAAACTTAGTCAACGATCATGGTTAACAACAGTTATCATCTGATATGGGGATTATCATTGTTTGGTAATACACAAACAGTAAATTTACTTTCGTGTAGTGTGACTATACAAATGGGATATTTTGGTGAGACTGTGGTGTGTGCTACTGATCTCGATAGATATAAGTAGTATGTGTCATCAATCGAAAGTGAAATGCCTGGAGGCAGAAGGTTAAGAATATCGAGGAAAACCGAACGAGAACAAAGAATGTTTGCTGTGGAATCAAAAGAACCATGAAGTCTGGGACGATTGATTGACATTTGCAGAACGAATAGTCAAGTTTGAGACGATTGATTTACATTTATCCTCTTCTAAGTGATAAATTTGTCTGTAAAAACAGTGAAACCTTTTTAAATGAAGTAGGCGCAAGTTAATTGTTGTACGTTCCACTTTGTGTACATTTCGAACTGTTAAGCATAGTGTTAAGTTTGTTTTACTTGGTTCTTTCTCGTTTTTCTTCCACTCTTTTGCGTATTGTTTTATACTACTTATTTATATTCAGTATATAAATGTATTCCCAGTAATTTTTACAGTCATGTAACAGAAGTTTGTCGTGTCATGTTCCGAAATATTTACTTATACTCATAACGTTTATTGTATTAATCAATATAATTACTACACCTCAATCACTGTAGCGGTTATCTACAGTCTTGTGCATTTGTTTAGACGCAACAGTTTCCAAATTGTTGAGCTCTTGATTCGGGTTTCGGTTATTGGTAAACTGTTACCAAATTTAGACACAGCTATCAGCTGTTATTTGTACAATGGAACGTTGTAATTATGCTTTATGTAAGCGCAACAGGTAGCCTTTTTTATTTCGAGCACAAGGACGCGTTAAACGCCACAGATATCTAAAAAGTTGAGGTTTGTAAAAAATTTTTGTGTATTATTCAATAAAGAACCGATGCTGTAGACAAATCGTTGTTTTGTGAATTTCGGTTTTGCGCAAACCCAATTCGGGTCTGTACGCTTCGATAAACTTAACATATAGTGTTAGTGGGAAAATAAAATAAAATTAAAAACCACCAACAGTTCAGGATGATGTCCAGTAACGACCATACCTGTATAAACGGAGAAACTTAATTCCCTATATGTTTATTACCGAAGAGAAAAGAACGATAAAAAGTGATGCAGAGAACTAACATCCAAACTACTATTCCTAATTATAAAATTTCTATGAATCAACTGAATAGTAAAATACACATGAAACTAGTGAAATTGGATGTTTGCCTTCATTCCTAGAGACTGATAGTAGTTCACTAGCGTGAAAACAATGTGATGGACAATCATTTAATAGACTTTCACAGGTGGTGTATCCCTATATTACTGATGAAATCACTGACCACCAATCCACCGCCTCTAAACATTCTTCTCTATAAAACCATCACAACTTTCGCTTAAATTTGATCGATTCATGATCTCAGTCAAAAACAAACACTCTCCACAACACCACACCGATCATAATTATTTTCATTATCTCAAAACTACGTCGTCTAACTACACTTCACAATAGATAGTGGTTAGTGAAAAAGTGAAACAAGTGATGGATTAATAATTTGACTCCTTTTAATGAACCACAAAGAGTAAATATTCGCGAAAATTTTAATGAATAATCCTATACTACTATTTAGTGAATGAATCACCCTAAATGTAGTTGAAGAGATTCATCCTGCAAAACCACCCCTATCCAAAGTGATGATAATTGTAATTGATTTCACATGACCGTCAACTGATTAGAAAGAAGGAAATCATCCAACAGGATAAAAACCTACAATCTACTAATAATACTTGATTGATGCCGGACTCTATTTTCGATTTGATCCGTTGGACACCATACAGGCATGATAATATATAATAAAGAAACTGTCCAATATTTCGAGATTTCCAACGAGTCCCTAACTGGTCTCTACCAATGTTGAAAATCATCTTTAGAATTCGCTTCTCGTTACTAAACTGCAGCTGCAACCAACATCCCAATGGAGAACACACAAATCGATCAATCGTGGTGACTTGAAATAACGGTCTAATTACTGATATAAATGTTTAAATGATATATCACGTATAATCGTATTCAAAAATCATACGTTCTACTCTATTCATTTCGAATTAGTTTACATTAAGTCAACTAAGCGAAAGGTATATGGACTATAGTTCAGTCTGGTTTTAAATACCTCGATCATTAATGTAACAAATTAAATAGGTTAAACAAAAATATTTTGTGTTTGAAAGTGTAACCAATTCTCTCTATGATTCCAATGCATTTGACCTATATGCATATATACGTCAGTTGTGTGCGTCTGTAAATTCAACTTTGTAAACATCACCACATAAGTATCATAAATGAGAAGTGCACATAAATCTTAAGCGATAAACTACCTTGATACATAAATTCATAATATGAATTACACTTTATTGAATAGAATTTATAAACGTAAATTATTTGTTTGTATGTAGGTGTGTATCAATGACGCTGATTTGAACACGATGTAAAGTCTATGGAAATTTTATAATGCTTACAAAGACCTACACTGAGAACAGTTTTCTGTCATAAAGCTCTCCCACAGGACCAGAATGAAATCGTTAAGAAGAACTATAGCTGAACCTAATAACTAGGATCACTTTGATGGAAAAACCAGTCAATTATAATAGTCTATCACAATTTATCATGTTTATTTTGTACTAAATTTTCCATGTCATTTTATTGCACACAAAATCCTATTCTCCAGACTATCGACGTCCTCTATGATTCCTAGACATTCATAGGCTTGCGTCAATAATACATTCTCGTTCTCGGTCATCACATCATATCATCGAGTCCATATATCAACTAGCATTTTACCCATTAATTTGAAACGTGGAAAATCCCGTTCAACCACTCATATAATAATCATGCAAAGCAGAAATCACAAGTCTGTTACTCACAGAGGACTCAACAAATATAAAACGATAGTCCTTGTTCTGATTATCTCACCAGAACAACGTGACACGATTTTATTTGTATTTATCATTTAACCCTGTCAGGAAGCTTTATTTTGTTGGCTTAATACATTGTCTCGTTTTAAAGTTTTCTGAATAAAAACATGCGACAACCTGATAATAAGTGAATGATTTTGAACTGAAATGATTAAAGTAATGAAAACTGACAAGATATTCTGCACTGATGTGCATGTGTATTTGAAACTTGTAGATAAATTACTCGTCAACTGTTTGAAGTGCCTAGGACCAACAAAGTGAACAGATAATTGGATAAATTTTTCAGTCAATGGTAATGTCTTGAGTTGACATAGTGAGTGAAGCAGGTATGAATTTGTTGGGTGGTATCATCTCGCTTGAAATTCCAGATATACCTCACTGATAATTGTCAAGGAGCAAGCGACTTGGACAAAGATGTTTTCTTTAGTTTCCTTCAATCAACTGGTGTGTATTTAGTTCATGGTATATTTTGAAGAGCACATGACTGAATTGCTACAGGCATACTGCAAGCTACGGATATGAGCTTCTCGTCATTATCCAAACTCGTCGATTCTTTAGGGAATGTAGATTTTCCAAGTAGCTGAATGTCATCTTTGGAAGTTTGTTTTATTCGACTTGATCCCGTCAGATGGAATAATTTATTTCGTATATTATTGAGATTTGTGTTACACAATGAGCAGAAGGGATCGTTTTGACGAACATTGAGAAATTCCTTGAATTATATCTCTATCTGTGTAATCTCTATTGAATATTCATTCGACATATGTTGGCATGTCTAAATTTGACTTAGATATCAACCAAACAAAGGGTGATGATACACCGTTTTCTTAAAACAGGGAAATTCATACTCGTACTACGGAGTACAGTCTATTTCTACATGATTTTTCGGTAGAACAAAATTTCAGTCACATATAAATTCAGTTTTGTTGTACCTGAATAAACAGGCAATAAATCATTTGAAAACATTGTTAATGAAGGAGTTTACATAGAAGAATGAAACGATTAGTACTTCATAACTAAATTCTATATTGACAGTAAATAAAACTTTACTCGTTATGTTCACTTTGCAGATCAATTAACCACATTCTGATTCATGTTGTTATGTGAAAAATTTTTAATAAGAAGAAGTTCCTCAATTATTTACGTTCCCAACCTAAGGTTTCTACTCTGGAATCGATTGTTGATAATGAGCATCTCTAAAACTATTCAGAAAGCAACGTGAAACAGATATGTGGAATAAATAAATCACATGAAGCTATAAGATGAAAATCTTTCTAATTGATAGTAATGATAAAAATGATAAATTCATTTCATACCATACATTTAGTCACAGTGGGGAGTTCTCAGCATTAATTGTGTCATGTTACAGAAAATGGTTCTCTAGCATTCATTTAAATTGTAAGAATTCAACACTTTCAACAGTCCGCATCTTCCACTCGTATTCAATCATCAACTTTTTCTATCAGTTCACTTGCTTCAGCTAGTAAATCACTGAATTAGGTGGATATAGGTTGTCCGTAGTATACAAGCAGTGCGAATCACATACGGTAATTAAAATATTCACATTATTATCAATAATTCACTGGTACAAATCTGGAGATAGTGATTTCCATGGCTTCCACCTTTAATTTCACCTTTGGTCTATTCACCAATATTCAATGCATGTACACTCGTTTCCGATAAACAAACAATGCAAATTCTCAATTGTTTACCTTCTCATCATTCACTCCATAGCAATCTGTTCAAATTGCATTCCTCTAAGAACACAACATCATAGAAGAAACATTTCTTGATTTCGTGAAATAATGTGTTGTGATATATCAGTATGAAATATCAGTATGAATGTGTTGACTATCAAATTTAATAAATTCAATACTTTTGTGGAATACATGTTACCACATGTGATAGTAATTTACTCGGACATAGGTGAATAAGCATTAAATGGTTTGTAGACTAATACATGATGAACAGTGCTTTAATAAACGGTTTGCACGGTTTTGTTTCTTCAATATACTCATGTGATTGATTGAAATTGTCACGTGGCGACAGTATTACCTAGTCAGTCATCATTGTGAGTTGCCAACAAACCTTAGAATAATACAAGATAAGAGGGTAATCAGACAACTCTATCATGTTGCAGTTAAACTTAAGTGGTTTCTTTCTCAATCGCGACCTATATCCAAGGGGAAACACATTAAATTGCATTATATTGGAAATTTTGTTTCAATAAAATATATGCAGAACATGATTGGTGAAAGTTGCACTAGTATTACTGTTGAATATAAAAGATAACAACTATATATAAGCTCACATTGCACGAAATAGATTTTTCATCTGAATTACCGAAGAGGTACAACGAAGTAGACAACTCTCTTCCAAATCTTGTACAACCTGATTACATCAATCTACCAATATAGGTTACCCTAAACTCACTTTGAAAATCACTGGTCTTACTCTTCAATAACTTAAACTGTTATCGCTATAAATTTACTGAAGTATATAGACGATTATTCACGAAATAACCATAAAAATTAGTAGATAACTTCTATCATTTTGTTTCAGCTCATAGACTGTTGAATTTCTCACAGTAATCTATAAACCAAGCATGAAGGCGTGTAATGTGTGAAGCATTCATCCTTCTCACATACACACAATAATGGCTGGTAAATCGGATGTTTCATTATTCCATAAATTCTACAAGAATACATAATAATGAAGCAAACATCCATTAAATCACATCCACAATTAATAAGTGAATCTCGATCATATAACTAATTATATTTTACCAGTGCCTTAAGTTCCAGATGAATTATTCCGTACGAATGGGACCACTTAAACAACATATTGATTATAGGAGATCTGAATTGTTGAATGACAGATGCACTAGTGTATGAATTGAACTTGAATTCCAGATCAAACAAAAGCAACTCAAATTGTGGACAGTATACAAATTTTATTAAATTACACATTGAAAACATGTAGAAAGAAACGTTTTAGTTACAATTATAATCAATCGATTGTAAATTATTTTCAGTGTTTGATTGTCCATGCATTTTTATTGGCACAATTGGGCTGATTTCTTAACTGACAGGTAGTTGTGAGTTCATGAGCAAATCCTTTTAAAACGTTTATTAAGTCGTTGAAGAACTGAAATTAAGAAAAGTTGAAAATCACATTAAAAATTCTTACTATCCAGAATACATTGACCATGAAATAGGTTTCCAACGAACATAAAATTATCAAAATCTTTTCACTAGACAAAAGACTGTGTAGTGAATCATATGTAAATTTCCAACCCGTTTCATCAATACTTATGAGATTGATCACCACCCATTTCTTGAAAATATAAAGCATTTTCAGTTGCACAGAAACGGTTTCTATTTATGCATCTTTCAGTATGTTGCTCAGTAGATCTTTTTATTTTATTTATTTACTTATTTAATCTAATATTATATAATCTATCTGTCTATTTATCTGCCTGTTTGTGACCAGTTTATTATAAAGATCATTGTCCATATCATTGATATTTTGATAGTGGGACTTACGAATATGCACAACTTCATTCATCTTCTGACCCAAACCATCTTCTTTGAAATATTCCTCCACCATTCCATTGGTTTTGGTCGCGCATGCTTTCAGACTTCCAAAAGTTTGTGCAGCCTCTAGAAACTGAACATTTTTAAATGTTACTGATAGGAGTATTGTATTTCAAGAACCTACCAAACTATTCATCGCATGACCGGAGTTACATCTAAACAATAAAGGAAGAAAAGAAAACAAAGAAATTTTACTAAGTAGTTTACATTTCAGTACAGTATTAATAAAGTGTGCTATAGATGGTGTTTATTTAATTTATTTTTCATACACACCGTTTTATTTCCACTATAAACAGTCACAACAGTTTCAATCCAGGGGCAGATAACTGGACAGCAAATATGTTATTCTGTCCACAGTGAATATCCTGACAATTCTGAAATAAATTTCTGTTGTTTCTAGCTCTATTTGATTAATGATATGGCAAGAGCTTATCTAATATCTTTGTAAACGCTGATAGTGAATATTTACCCTCTATTGAAAGAAACTTGCATTTTTAAACACCATGAAAAACTGTATTGATAACAAATAAAAACCTATTCATGTAGTGTCCACATATATTCACTTATACATGTATTTACACTAGATATCTATGATTATCAATGATTATATGTATATTTAAATATAAAATATAGCTTCATATTAACATGGTAATGTCAAGATTTATTGTCTAACTCGGTTTGAACAGCGAAAAAACAGACAGCCAGGGAGAGAATGAAGATTGTTTTCATCGTGATATGGAGACTTTCAACTTTACAAATGGATTACTCTCTTCCTTTTATATATTACCGATTCACGTTGTTTATGTTTGAACGTGTATGTTTGTGCAAATGGGTCATCGAGTGTTTACGTTCATCAATAAGGTCATTGGCATTAATAATTCAATTATTAGATGTGTGCGTTTACTCGTGTGATCATTGAACGATTCATACACCGAGTAGTCTAATCGATTGTCACATGTGATTGGATAGACCGCTATGTTCCGATCTATTTCATATTCCACATCAATGAGTGTTTGACTTTGTTGCTAAATACATTTCGATAGATTATTTCAAAACCAGACATTTCAATGTGTGTTTGACCTGATAAACATCAACTTTCGAGCTTTCATGCGAGTGCATAAAGTTTGTGTGCGAGAATGACTTACGATTGTCTGAGAATTCGCAATTGGAGTAGACTGTCGATAGTTAACTGGTACTAAGGTCATTAGTAGATAATTATAGATAGATGATATTTTTATGTGTTAACATTTCCGCATCTACTTAAATGCTTGATTATGAAACGGTAACGACCTATGGGTCACAGCTCTCATCAACTTTTACAGGTCCTTTAGTGGGAAATAAGTTTCTGTTTGGGGATGAGAAAATTTTTAATTCATTTGTCGTTAAAGATTAATTTGGGAATTTTCAATACGGTTAAAATAAATTCAGGTTAGATAAATCAAGACGTTAATTTAGAAGACGAAAATAAAAGTAATCTTGTTAACTTAAGCGCACAACTGTAAATGGTATCTAAATCTGATAGCTTGAAAAGAATTACAATGATAGTTTGAGATCTCGATTCTGGTGTTTTCTTTCACCTTTGAGAAGAATCGAGTGAAAAATGATTTCATTTCAACAAATATATTTACATATACATTAAAACAGAAAATTGGATTGATTTAACAAATTTAGTTTTCGTCACATATTTTGTAGTCGATTTGTATCCGACTACTTATTATCTCGATATGGAACTCATTCACATCACATGTTGCTGAAATTTATAACTTAATTGGGATTGAATATGCTAATGATGTGATTTGACCTCATCATATACCGCAAATATAATTAACGTTTATTTAACTAAATGTCTGGGCATAAAGAGATATCGGGAAGTCCTAATTTTTTCTTGTTTTCAATGTTCCTAAAGAATAAATGTGCTTATGACAACGACTATCATAAACTGATATAAAATGCTATTGATAGAAGGTGTTAAGAGATAAATCACATAGTCTATTGCAAAGGCAAACAATGAATAAACATTACATGTAATAAATAAATCACTGAGGAATTTTGTCATTTAGGAAAAAATCAAATAATTTCATCTAAAATTAAATCCATCCACAGTAAAATGAAATATTGAGAAGACATTTCAAAGGAAACAATTGGAGTAACAAGTTCAATACGGATGCAAGTAATCATAATTTCAGCGAAATAGATGGATAGATTAGATTAGAGCAAAGTAGATTAGATTAGATAAATAAGTAAACAAATAAAAAGATCTACTGAGCAATATACTGAAAAGTGCACCAAATAGAAGACCTTTCTGTGCAACTGAAAATAATTTATATTTTCAAGAAATGGGTGGTGATCAATCTCAAAAGTATTGATGAATCAATGGATAATCAGGTTGTAAAAGATTTGGAAGAGAGTTGTCTACTTCGTTGTACCACATCGGTAATTCAAATGAAAAATCTATTTCGTGCAATGTGAGCTTATATATAGTCGTTGTCTTTTATATTCAACAGCAATACTAGTGCAACTTACACCAATCATGTTCTGCATATATTTTATTGAAACACAATTTCCAATATAATGCAATTTAATGTGTTTCCCCTTGGATATAGGTCGCGATTGAGAAAGAAACCACTTAAGTTTAACTGCAACATGATAGAGTTGTCTGATTACCCTCTTACCTTGTATTATTCCAAGGTTTGTTGGCAACTCACAATGATGACTGACTAGGTAATACTGTCGCCACGTGACAATTTCAATCAATCACATGAGTATATCGAAGAAACAAAACCGTGCAAACCGTTTATTAAAGCACTGTTCATCATGTATTAGTCTACAAACCATTTAATGCTTATTCACCTATGTCCGAGTAAATTACTATCACATGTGGTAACATGTATTCCACAAAAGTATTGAATTTATTAAATTTGATAGTCAACACATTCATACTGATATTTCATACTGATATATCACAACACATTATTTCACGAAATCAAGAAATGTTTCTTCTATGATGTTGTGTTCTTAGAGGAATGCAATTTGAACAGATTGCTATGGAGTGAATGATGAGAAGGTAAACAATTGAGAATTTGCATTGTTTGTTTATCGGAAACGAGTGTACATGCATTGAATATTGGTGAATAGACCAAAGGTGAAATTAAAGGTGGAAGCCATGGAAATCACTATCTCCAGATTTGTACCAGTGAATTATTGATAATAATGTGAATATTTTAATTACCGTATGTGATTCGCACTGCTTGTATACTACGGACAACCTATATCCACCTAATTCAGTGATTTACTAGCTGAAGCAAGTGAACTGATAGAAAAAGTTGATGATTGAATACGAGTGGAAGATGCGGACTGTTGAAAGTGTTGAATTCTTACAATTTAAATGAATGCTAGAGAACCATTTTCTGTAACATGACACAATTAATGCTGAGAACTCCCCACTGTGACTAAATGTATGGTATGAAGTGAATTTATCATTTTTATCATTACTATCAATTAGAAAGATTTTCATCTTATAGCTTCATGTGATTTATTTATTCCACATATCTGTTTCACGTTGCTTTCTGAATAGTTTTAGAGATGCTCATTATCAACAATCGATTCCAGAGTAGAAACCTTAGGTTGGGAACGTAAATAATTGAGGAACTTCTTCTTATTAAAAATTTTTCACATAACAACATGAATCAGAATGTGGTTAATTGATCTGCAAAGTGAACATAACGAGTAAAGTTTTATTTACTGTCAATATAGAATTTAGTTATGAAGTACTAATCGTTTCATTCTTCCATGTAAACTCCTTCATTAACAATGTTTTCAAATGATCTATTGCCTGTTTATTCAGGTACAACAAAACCGAATTTATATGTGACTGAAATTTTGTTCTACCGAAAAATCATGTAGAAATAGACTGTACTCCGTAGTACGAGTATGAATTTCCCTGTTTTAAGAAAACGGTGTATCATCAACCTTTGTTTGGTTGATATCTAAGTCAAATTTAGACATGCCAACATATGTCGAATGAATATTCAATAGAGATTACACAGATAGAGATATAATTCAAGGAATTTCTTAATGTTCGTCAAAACGATCCCTTCTGCTCATTGTGTAACACAAATCTCAATAATATACGAAATAAATTATTCCATCTGACGGGATCAACTCGAATAAAACAAACTTCCAAAGATGACATTCAGATACTTGGAAAATCTACATTCCCTAAAGAATCGACGAGTTTGGATAATGACGAGAAGCTCATATCCGTAGCTTTCAGTAAGCCTAGTACAAAATAAACATGATAAATTGTGATCGACTATTATAATTGACTGGTTTTTCCATCAAAGTGATCCTAGTTATTAGGTTCAACTATAGCTCTTCTTAACGATTTCATTCTGGTCCTGTGGGAGAGCTTTATGACAGAAAACTATTCTCAGTGTAGGTCTTTGTAAGGATTATAAAATTTCCATAGACTTTACATCGTGTTCAAATCACCGTCATTGATACACACCTACATACAAACAAATAATTTACGTTTATAAATTCTATTCAATAAAGTGTAATTCATATTATGAATTTATGTATCAAGGTAGTTTATCGCTTAAGATTTATGTGCACTTCTCATTTATGATACTTATGTGGTGATGTTTACAAAGTTGAATTTACAGACGCACACAACTGACGTATATATGCATATAGGTCAAATGCATTGGAATCATAGAGAGAATTGGTTACACTTTCAAACACAAAGTATTTTTGTCTAACCTATTTAATTTGTTACATTAATGATCGAGGTATTTAAAACCAGACTGAACTATAGTCCATATACCTTTCGCTTAGTTGACTTAATGTAAACTAATTCGAAATGAATAGAGTAGAACGTATGATTTTTAATACGATTATACGTGATATATCATTTAAACATTTATATCAGTAATTAGACCGTTATTTCAAGTCACCACGATAGATCGATTTGTGTGTTCTCCATTGGGATGTTGGTTGCAGCTGCAGTTTAGTAACGAGAAGCGAATTCTAAAGATGATTTTCAACATTGGTAGAGACCAGTTAGGGACTCGTTGGAAATCTCGAAATATTGGACAGTTTCTTTATTATATATTATCATGCCTGTATGGTGTCCAACGGATCAAATCGAAAATAGAGTCCTGCATCAATCAAGTATTATTAGTAGATTGTAGGTTTTTATCCTGTTGGATGATTTCCTTCTTTCTAATCAGTTGACGATCATGTGAAATCAATTACAATTATCATCATTTTGGATAGGGGTGGTTTTGCAGGATGAATCTCTTCAACTACATTTAGGGTGATTCATTTACTAAATAGTAGTATAGGATTATTCATTAAAATTTTCGCGAATATTTACTCTTTGTGGTTCATTAAAAGGAGTCAGATTATTAATCCATCACTTGTTTAACTTTTTCACTAACCACTATCTATTGTGAAGTGTAGTTAGACGACGTAGTTTTGAGATAATGAAAATAATTATGATCGGTGTGGGGTTGTGGAGAGTGTTTGTTTTTGACTGAGATCATGAATCGATCAAATTTAAGCGAAAGTTCTGATGATTTTATAGAGAAGAATGTTTAGAGGCGGTAGATTGGTGGTCAGTGAGATATCGATACAGATACAAAATCTAATATTCTCCGTTTATGCAGGTATGTCCGATACTGTACAGCATCCTGGATTGTTAACGGCTTATCTGTTGTCTCACTTACAACTAAAACTATGCTTCAACAGTTCGAAATGTACACAAAGTGGAACTTACAAAAGTTTACTTGCACAAGCCAAGTCTATCTGTTTTATGAGTTAGTCGTATAACAATTCCCATTTTCATCAGCATCTTCACGTATAGGAAAACTCGCTGTTACTTATAATCATTTCGGTAAATTACTACTTATTAGTCATTATTCAGTTATCATGTCTTCACATTCTCACTCGACCACTGTCATTACGTTGCTAAATATCTCAAGAATAACAGCAAGTTTAAATACGTGTAATTCTGTTTAGTAATTTATTCGCTTTTGTAATTGTCTCAAATTAACTATTTCTAGTTCTTCAAAATATTCAGTGTACATTCCAGTGCTGCATGATAGGCATGAGTTATTTTGATACATTTGAATTGATACTCGTCGAAGATGGACCTACTGACTTTTAAATAGGTAGTATATTCGAGAGATTCTGTTGAATGATAAAGTAATCCAGGTTGTTGGATTAATAGTTTGGACAATGATAGATGCAGTGTGTAATAATTGAAGATGAAACATTGGATTTCTTGTGAATTTGAAATCCAATAACTTGATAACATACTGAGGGGTATCAATTTTAATTCTTGACTAAAAGTGATGCGAAATGGCAACTGATGTGAAGTTTGTTTGTTTTGATGCTCTTCTGATAGCGATCTGTTTTTCAGTCACTGTAGTAAACGGAGCTATATATTAGCTAGAAGATAATCTTCAATCTTGCATTGGTAAATTTGAAAATTATGTGATCTTTTAAGCTACCTACTTAATTTAAAAAGGTTTCACTGTTTTTGCAGACAAATTTATCAGTTAGAAGATGGCAAATGCTAAAAATCTTTAGTAAATATCTTGAAATCTGTACATTGGGTGATCTGATCTATATCATATTCATTTAGTCTTTAGGGCTGAATAAGCTGCAGTTTAGATATTCGTCTGAGTGACGCTTTATTTTGTGCGTTATATCTTGATTTTATGCGTTTCTCGTTCGTTTTTAGTAAGTTCACATTTTTAAGTTTGTTCATTCAATTGATCGTGTTGCCTAAATATATTTCATAGTAATTCGTCTTTCATTAAACATTGTGACTTCAATGTTAAATATTTCTTATTAATTTATAGGATGATTCAATATATCAATTTACTTTAATCGTTATGTAAATATTTGTATATTCATAACGTCTTAATGTGAAGAATTTTGAATTTATGGTGTTTCTTAACCTGATGTAAGCCACCTCTTCAGAGAACAAATAAATGAATACATATGTTAATTTAATTAATTAAGTTATTTATTTTTTGATGGATTGGTTTACATTAAGTCAACAAATGTTAAGTAGTAAATTATCTAATCACTTGAACTTGACAAATATATCATTATATCTATTAGCATGAATCTATTTCATCTATTCAGTCTGTTCAAAATTATTAAGTCGAACCATGCTAATGATACTTACAAACTTTATGGTTAAATAATAATGTCTCATTTCTTAAAGACAATCAAGTAATTTCAGTTTTTTTCAGATAACTTTCAAGTACCAATTCAATTTGCAACAAATTAATATCAGAATAGCCATCTACTTTTACAGTGACTGTCATGGAAGTGTTTTTAATTAGAATAATTATAATTATCAGCGCGTTGACAAATAGAATAATAGCTTTGTAATACTTTATTCATTCACTATAATCCATTGTAGATTAAGCAGAGACATTTACATTAATATGATATATATCAGAAAGAAATTCTATTTCAATGAAACTTGTTGGCTAGACTATAAATTATGAACGAACCAATCAGATGTAGGATAGCATGTGTCGAATGTTTGCACGAAATTCATTTATCCATTTGACTAAATAGAGTTTTGATATTTTAGGTGATATCATTTCGTGATGAAAACCCTAAATCTAATACCTAACTTTAACCATCAACTGTAAATAATAATCCATATTCTTCACAAAGGTTTATTTATTTTAAACTGTACATAGTAACGGGTCTGCGAATAAATATTCGTTTCTTTTTCTGCATTTAATTGATCAATTTTCAGGAATTTCGAAGGTTTTAAACTTATGGACTCAGTTAAACTAGTGAAGTAACTAGGCTTAATTACATAGAATTCAATCTTTATTATTAATTACAACGAACCTCAAAAAATGCAGATTGGTGACTGATATACAGTAAGATCGAGTTGTGTTCACAATCGACTGATCACTGAGTAGTGATCAATGTCATGTGTATCAAGTCCTTCTTAGTGCAAATCGAATGCTATTGACCAAGTTGCAATGTGGTCACTAGTCTAGGTGACTCGAAATTGCGTTCACTATGTTGAGATAAGATGATGGTTGGAGGTGGTCAACACGAAACCCTGAATCCGAGTTTCGTGCTTTTTGGCACTCGTCAGCAAAGTCTACCTGTTACTCATTAGTAAAACGTTTTTGTAATAAACTTACAATATTGTTGTTTTTGATAGTTCAACTGGAAAAAAATACATCATACCTCTTAAAGAAAAAAGACAGAAATAAATATGAATCTGGTGTTAGCAACATCTAACCAATCACTACTTAAAATATATTAGTAAAAATAATAATCTAATTGTTATAATTCCCTCTTATTACAACCCAACTATTCCTATTGCTTAGTATTTTTGTACACTAATTCATTCGACAAGTCCCCAAATCAGAACACAGTTGGACAGGAAAGTAACAAGGTTAAATGGAAGTAAGAAGTATAGTAGGGAAAATGTTAGTATATTTATGATTTTTACATGAGAAGATTCTAGAATTTCCTCCAACTATCGACTAACGTACACCAAAGCAATTGTGTATTGAGCATACTTCAATCTAATCTATATCTCGCAAACACTAGTATTTCCTGTTTACGAATGAACAATTTTACAATTATAATAATGAAAAAAAACATTTTTTATCCATAGAGTTTATTTTTAATTCAATCAAAGAAACAATCTATTTTACAAAATAACGTATATGTATATATATATACAGTACAAAATTATTGATTTTATAATTCATTATGTTTTAATTGTGAGTCATTATATTCGTGATCATGATCATAATCCTCATTATTATTATCATCATCATCATCATCTTTAATTAAGTTTTGTATAGCTACAATTAAGAAAAAAAAACAAAAAAAAAACAACAAATTATTGATCACGATTATTGATTGACTCATTATCATAACTACTTACTTGAATCAATAAAATTTAATGCTAATTTTCCAAATTTCGCTATATTTTGTTTAATTATTTTAATTTCATTTTTTCCAATATTTTTTTCAAACCATTTATGTAATAGATTAGCATAATCGAAACCAGCATTCATTAATTCTTCAGTCTATAATGTTTTTTTTTAAAAATAATTTTTTAATGATTCATCAATTGATTAATGAATAGAACCTACAATGATCGATAAATCTGATTCATCTTCTTCATTATTACAATTTATAAAACTGATAATGAAGCTTAGATATAAAATAAGAAATAGGCGCATATTTATAAAGTATAAAGTAATATTATTACTGATTGATCAATAATATTTATTTATATACGATTGTATAATTAATTATATCATTAAAGAAAAACCCAGGATTGGTGCGTGTTACCATTCAAGGTCAGTGAATAATATTTCAACCAATCAAAACGTTGTGGACTTGACTCTGTATAAAAAATATATGGAATGAAATAAAATTTGTTTACACAAATAACTGACTCATGATCTTAACCATTTAAATTGCTATAATATACACAAAACCCCTTCTGATATTAAACAAAATATGCTCACTAATGACTGGCTTCACGAGATATATCGTGGATTTCTAGTGAGAAGTAGTGACCAGTGGAGTTTAACCAGGTCTGTTGTGAGATAGTAACTCACTAAAAACAATGTTGGATGTATCGCTCAATTTTGTGGATTAGTTGAAGTTAGACATTAACACTGTTGGATGCCGGCCATCCAAGTGGTCTAGGGGTTAAGTGCTCGCGCGCGAAACAAATAGGTCCTGCGTCCGAATCTCGCAAGGGGCGAGGCCGTGGATGCGCACTGTTGAGGAGTCCCACAATAGGACGAAACGACCGTCCAGTGCTTCCAGGTTTTCCATGGTTAATTAGTGCTTCGTCATAAAAATGAAGTTCACATCAATAAAATACATAGAATTTCTAAAAGTTCATTAAATATATTAAGTTTATGTGTCTTAACTATAAAATGTTAAATAATAATTAAATTTTAGAATCAGAAAGCGATATTATGGATATTATAGTACTTTAATAGTTGAATTCATGATTCAATTAAAGCTAGACCATCACGGAAAATCTGGAAGCACTGGATAACTGTCTCGTCCTAATGGGGGATTCCTCAGCAGTATGCATCCATGATCCCACTCTTGGAATTCGTATCCAGAACCTATCGATCTCGTGCATGAACGCCTAAATTTTACATTGAATCTAATCAATTGTGATTAAAAAATTTTCAAAATGAAAGTTTATTAAACAGAATATACGTGAGAAAACAAAATTTATCATATGCCATTGAAATTAAATAGAATTTAGTATTATACTTATACTAAACTGAATAAATAATATTTTTCAGGTAACAAAATTTTCTTCTAATAAAAAAAATTATTAGAGAAGTATATTGTAAGTTTCTATTTAAAACTGTGGGAACTGTAACGTAGTACAGATAATGCAAAACAGTTTTAATGCGATTCTCTATATAATTAGCGAAAACTGATAATATTTTCACAACATTGTTTGGGACGTTAGATCCCCAGAATGCACTGGGGAAAGGACCTAATTTTGTAATTTTATTTAGAAAATTTGAAGTTCTTTGTTTCCGCGCCAAAGGCGCTCTTGTCACCTTCATGTCGTATTTCCCACTGGGAAATATCTTAAATGTTCTTGGTCCGTTGCGTCTTTTCAGTATGTTATTTGATCACTCTCCCCAAGGACGGTTTTGTACTGTACATATACGTTTTGAATTGTGTTTGTTGTCATCGCTCGTTTCTGACTGTTTTGCAGAATATACTTTCCCATTCCTAGTTTGGACTTCTCCCTCTAGTTAGCGAGTCTGGGACTCATCAATAGCTAGTTTACTGGTCTTTGGTCATCGAGTCTTGTTTCTCGTTCGCAGACTAAGTGAACTCGTGATAGCTTCAAACCTAGCAAACATGTAGTAGAGTTCATCTTATAAGAATAAAATATTATCTAAAATATTTATTGGGTTGATAAAAGTCTTTAAAATAACCATAATCAGTGTATTTGCTAATAAAAATAGAAGATATTATTTGGTTGGTGATTATCTAATTGAATGAACAATATGTTAATTTAATCCTTGACTATAAGAAAGCGTTTGACAGTGTGGAGACGAGAAAACTATGGAACCCTCTTCGACATTATGGTGTACCTAAGACGATCGTCAACATCGTACGACGAACTACACTGCAAGCTTGTGCATGGAGGACAGCTGACAGATGCACTCCATGTGCAGACCGATGTCAGACAAGGCTGTTTACTCTTGCTACTTTATCATTCTTCTAGTGGTTGAATGGATTATGGGAGCACGGAATACAATAGACAGGTTGGATGCAACTAGATGATTCGGACCTTGCAGATAACCTAGCTCTTCTATCCCATACACACCAACAAATACAGACGAAGACATCCAGTGAAGCAGCAACCTCGGAAACAATAGTCCTCAAAATACACAAAGGACAAAACAAGATCCTGAAATAAAATGCAGAGAGCACCAACTCACACACTTGATGGAGGAACTCTGGAAGAGGTGGAAACTTTCACGTGCGTGGACAGCATCATCGATGAACGAGGAGGATCCGATAAGAACGTAAAGGCAAGGATTGGCAAGGCAAGGGCTGCATTCCTACAGTTGAATAACATATGGGACTCAAAACAAATGTCAGCCAATATCAAAGTCAGAATCTTCAATACGAACGTCAAGACAGCTCTATGTACGGTGATAAAACTTGGATAACCACTTCAGCTGTACTGAAAAAAGTACAGGAATTTACAAACAATTGTCTATGCAAGATACTGAATGTCCGTTGGTCGGATACTATCAGCAACAACCTGGTATGGAAGAAAACGAAACAGCGTCTAGTTGAAGAGGAAATTAGAAGACTTTGAAAGTGGATAAGAGATACATTATGGAAATCATTAAACTGCATCCCAAGGAAAGTGCTGACTTAGTATCCTGAAGGGGAAAAAAAAGAGAAAGACCAATGAATACATGGAGCCGGGAATCGTAAACAGAAATCAAACGAATGAATAGCAACTGGAAACAGCTAGAAAAGACTGCCCAAGGCAGAGTTGGATGAAGAATGCTGGTGGATAACGGATGTTCTTTCACAAGGAATATCAGGCGTTATCAAGTATATCTAACTACTGCTTACTGACAATAAAAGAGTTGATAACTATCTATCTAATCATAATAGTAAAGAAAGCAAAACTAATATGTATGTGAAACACATAGGTAGAAGGGGAGCGATCAAGTTTTCGTTATTATAAAAGAGTTTTGTTGGAAGAAAATGTGACACAATATGTTTTGAATATTACCTTTGAATTTTAATCCCTGAATGGTCAACCGATTAATGATATGTTAATAACTTAGACAAAAGTCTCCTATAATTTCTTTCTATTGTTATGTTGCTTTGATAAGTTAACTCTTATCATATAACAATAACGATGCAAACAACAATACTCAGCATTTGATATTCTACCTAAATCAAGATATCAGTTCCACTAGGAATTTAAAAGGAGATAGGAGATTGGAATTCCCTACAGTGAGTACTAACTGTTAGGAGCCACTAGTTCAAAAAACATACTACTAGTAGTGCATCAGTAGTTAGTACATGCCTACAACAAACAACAGTTGTCAGAAGTCGGCTCACTCAAAGACACGTTTAATGTCATACCTTATTGATTTGAAGTGAAATAAGAACTATGTTTATAAGGTTCGTTGGTGTAATTCTTCGGCCATATTTCTTTAAGAAAACTGCATAAGACGTTTGAGTAAATCGTTTGTTTCCTCAGAAGTATATCTATTTTACAAAAATGATGAATATCAATTATTGTGAAATTATTAATACCAGTGAATAACTGTCTGAGAAAAGTTATGATAGTATTGTACAAAACAAAGTTTAGGACAAAATTAGTCTGATTATCTGACAATTTGTCGCACCTGTAGTTATGAATAATTATAGGATGGTCATCAGCAATCTGATTATTTGCCATGTGTTAGTTCCCTAATCGTAGAGATAAAAAAGGGTTAGTTTTAAAATTCATATGCCTTGTCAACCCTCAGCCATAATTTTCCTTGTGAATATTCCTGGAACATTTTGGAAAATGAAGTATAAAGGAGGTAATTAGCCTTACGTGACTGTTTTTTATTTCCTAAAATTATCATTTAATCAGATATCTGGGTGGTATGACTAAAGGCATTGGAAGTTAATTTATTAAACATGAGATTTTACCCATATCAGTCTAGTCAAACTGTATGAAAACTTGATTTTTATATCCTTAGCCTTTATTAAAACGTTTTCACAACAGATCTTATATCTCAGTCAAAATGCTTTCATAATATTTTGAAAATATTATTTCTGAATCCTCATGCTCTCCAGTATGTGTGAATATTGATCTAGATGTCAGGTGGTTCCGCGTAATTATCGATAATTTAATACACAGTTATAATGAGAGATAATATACATAAGAAAATGTAGTATTTTAAAGCATCTACAATGTTGTTATGCAAGGAATAGATTGTAATACGACTTGAGTTGAGATCTTAATGAAGATTAAGGTTTTAAGTAGTTTATTTCAAAAAAGCCTGCTTCTAAAAAATATATTTTATCCAATGACAAAACATATTTGTTGAATAATTCTGTAGTGAAATTTCATAGCATAAATTTACTATTGATTGGTTACTGAGTAATAACCAGTGTTATGCATGTGAAGTAACCCTTATTACTGAACAAACTTCATATATCAAGTCACAAAGTGGCCACTAGTCTAACTCAATTAATCAATAAAATTAGACCACCACAAAGAAGGCACTGATATACGCAACATTGGTTACTTACAAATGATTGGTATTTGAAGAGAGAATCAAAACGAAACAAAAATTATTTCCCAAATTTCGCCTCCATCATTGGTTTACAATGAAATAATGAAGTAAAGTATTATTTAAAGATGCTTTGTGTTACATGGAATACTTCAGTAGAATACACCAGCTTGCCCAATATGGGATCTAATCCGAAGATACCTAGATCTCGAGGTAAGTATAAGTTCTTAATAACTTTATTAAAATCAATGACCTTTGTTCTCTAACTTCAATCAGATAGTTCACGACATAATATTATCAAGGTGTAAATGCATCACTTCTAAATAAGTCAATTTTAACTAATTATAAATTGTCATTAAACAATCAAGAAAACTACTTGAAAGTTAGACAGTAACGACCATACCATTACTGTTTACAAATCATTTCATTATACAGTTATTAATTACTCTAATACATATTACTGAAACTAGTTGATTTATAAATAAAAAAATATCTAAGTACAAATGTATATTGTCCAATTTACCATGTGCTCACTAGTGACTAACTTCATGAGAAGATTCTC